CACCATCACACGGGGCCTGGCAATTCAAGCTACAAATCGAAGCCTGGCGATGCCAACACACGAGGCCAAGGAAGACTGGTTAACGTGCCTGATTCCAGCTCCACTGTCAAGTGACGAAGGGAGCTCCAGGGCGCATAGTCCAGTGCACTGGACCTGCCAGTCCTGGTAAATAGACTCTACAGACCCTCCTCCCCGCTCCCAGGGGTACTGCTGGGTGTCAACGGTAGTAGATGCCTTTTCTGGGTGTCACAATAATTCCCATCTGCAGAGCAAACGCAGGCCGTACTACCCAAGAACTCCCAAATGTACTGCTACATATTTGAACTTCCGAACACATCCAGTCAATGATGCCACCCTCATGGTCAAGAGCACCAGCAGCATGCAGCTATCCAGGCATTCAGGGGACATTTCATGGCCCGTCTCATCCACAGACAAGAGGGGCCATTAAAAGATGAAATGGGGCTGGCTCCATGGTGTAGTGGTTAAGTCCGGTGCACTATGCTCCAGCAGCCTGGGTTCACAGGTTTGGATCCCAGGCACGGACCTACACATGCTGTGCCATGCTGTGGCAGGGACCTACATACAAGATAGGGGAAGACTGGCACAGACGTTAGCTCAGGGCTAATCTTCCTCAAGCAAAAAAAGAGGAAGACTAGCAACAGATGTTAGCTCGGAGTGATTTTCGTCACAAAAAAAAAAAGAAAGAAAGAAAGAAATGGACTCTAGGCACTAGCCCCGTGGCCAAGTGGTTAAGTTTGCGTGCTCTGCTTTGGGCGGCCCAGGGTTTCACCAGTTTGGATCCTGGGTGTGGACCTAGCACGGCTCATCAGGCCATGCTGAGGCAGTGTCCCACATAGCACAACCAGAAGTACCTGCAACCAGAATATACAACTATGTACTCGGGGGCTTTGGGGAGAAGAAGAAAAAAAAAAAAGATGAAATGGACTCTAAAAAAAACCTGAAAAAATAAGTAGATTCTAATTGTGGCAATTCCCCAGAAATGCACCACCCATTTATGTACAATGTTTAATCACGAGGTGGGAAGAGGGAATGAGAAAAGGCCCCCACTGGCTGCGAGAGCCCCCAGCCACGGAACGAGCCCTCTCCCTCTCCCCTTTTTCCCTCCTGTGCCTACCTTCTGGGACCTACGGGTGGCAGAGTAGAGCCGGCGGTGGGAGATTCCAACCCGGGGCCTCTCTCGCCCCCTGCCTACTCTTGCTGCAGCGGCGCAGTTATGGACACTGGTGATAATGGTCATGAGCACGAGGTGACCGCTCTAAGGTGGTCCTGCTGGTGCGGCCTGCACGTCAGGGGTGGGCGATGATCTAGGATGGCGCATGGTAATCACCTCGGGATGAACCTAGCCAGATGGAGTGGGGTAGACACGGTGAGACTTTTAAAAGGGTAAAGTCCCTGTGCTGCAGGAACAGGTCATACTGACTGGGCGGCCACGAAGGGAGAGCTCCCCCAGCGGGGAAGGAGAGGTGGGGGTGGGGCCATTAGTGTCTCACCTGCAGGACACCTGGCCCAGCCTGTCATCTCAGAATGCTTTGGTAACATTGTCCCCGACTGTGCCCACTGCCCTCAGTCTTACTCCTGGAAACCTACTTTCTAGGGAGACTTTCAACTGAGGACTATCGATGTGGAAGGCAGGATGGCCTTCACCAAAACGATAAAACAAGATTAATTTTCTAGATACTGACATCAACTCCCGTGGCTTCATCTTATTATCGCTGGTGTCCTGTGGTCTCCCTCTGCTGCCCAAAACACCAAAACCCAAACCACACCTCTCTCATGCGCTTCTTCCAGGCCATGGCCACTGCCTAAATTGATTGCCGGATCTGTCCTCCCCCACCCAACCTGCTGACGGGACCACCTCCCCCTCCCCTGAACTCTCGTCAGCCACCCCTGGACCCGAGAGGGCAGGCCTCAGCTGGGGACACATGTGGCGATCACTTTGGGAGAGACCTGCCCATCTTGAAGCAACTTCTGTGTGTGGGAAGAGGGCCCAAAGGAGGAGAGGACAGGTGGCCCAGACACCTGGGCTCCAGGCTCAGCACCCACGTGGCACTGGGGCTGTGCCATCAACCATCTGTGCCTGGGGTCTGAGTCAGGTCCCCAGCCTGACCTAGCTGCTCAGTCCTCTGCTTCTCCAGGAGCAGAAAGTGTTCCTCCTGCCCCGAGGGCCTCGGTTTCCCGGTTTTGGATTCCTGGGGCTTTGGTTAGGAGGAAATAGAGCCAGGCACACTGGGAGAGCCTGCAAAGGCCTGGGAAAGCCCTCTTCACAGCACGAGCCCGAGCTGCACCACTGCCTGCTTTTCCCAGCTCCAGGTCTCCTCCCATCGGGATGGCAGGACAGCAGTGCCGCCTAACAACTCTTCTTACAGACAGCAAACAGGACCTAGTTAGGGGAAGGACTTGGGCAAGGTCATGAAGAGACCAAGGCCCTGGCAGCGTGGCTCCTACCCCAGGTTCATGCCCACGGCAAGAGTGAAAACCAAAGCTCATGTCTGCACAACACTTGACAAAGCCAACTGAGAGAGTCCTGCCCAGGACAGGACCCTGAGCTGACCTGAACCTGACCTTGACCCTCACTCTAACCTAGCTCATTCTAAACTCTCACTCCCACTCTAATCCTAACTCCTAACCCTAACCTCACACTGACCCTGACTCTGACCTTAACCCTAATCCTTTACACTGACCTTGACCCTAACCTTAAACTTATCCCTTCTCCAGTGGCCATAGGAGGGCAGTCCCCACCCCTCACTGATCTAAGTGTGTAGCCATCCCTCTGGGAGAGTCGACAGCTGAGGCCGTGTAGCCCTCACTGAGGTCCCTGCTCAGGGAACACTGGCCTCAGCTACATGGCACCACTAAGGGTCTCGCCAGTAGCCCCACAGCACCCCGACTGCCCCTCATGCTCCCATTCCCTCCAGCCTTCTCTGGGGCTGCAGCGGGCAAGCAGCTGCCTGGGTGGTGCCCTGGTTTCCAAAACCCTTGGGGGTGATCTGAATACACAGAGGCTTGGTCAGAACTTGGGTCACTCTGGACGTCTGCCAGCTCCCACTGTGGATTAGCTGTGCACTCAATTTCTCCAGCTCCCTCTTCTCCCTGCCTAGCATGCCCAGGTAGTCTACTGGTGCCTTTTCGGGAGAGGTCTTCTCACCTGAACAGGGCAGGGACCTCATTTGCCATGTTCCAGATCATACTCCACACAGGGAAAAGGGCTGCCATCCAGGAGACCCCGGTGAGTCTCACTGACTTCCTGAGGAGGGAGCTAGTCCCTAGAGGGGACTTCATGGGGTGACTCTGTGCCCCTGTCCCCTTCAGGAGGACACTATCTCCATGGGTCAACAGCTGTAACCTAGCCACCACATGCCATTTCCCGCAGTGAGAGCTCAATGCCTTGCAGCCAAAGGGGCTCCTGCAGCAGCTAGGAGAGGTCACTGCTGGGGTCCCTGTAGGTGACCTATCTCCATCGGCCTCCCTGAGGCACCCACATGTCAAGTGGTGTCCTGGCTCCAGGTGTCTCTTCTATAAATGAAGCTGTTCACCTCACTTGTCAGTTTCCTCACTGTCCACGGTTTTGTTCCAAGGGTCTGATACAGCCCCAGCTGCCCTTGGAATCTCCTGAGGCCCCGTCCAGAGGCTCCAGCTCAGCAAGAGGTGGGTGGAAGGGTCCTGGTGAATGTGAACTCAGTGAGGGTGCACTGGTCCTGGAGAGGCAGTGGTGGGCCGGGGTCTCTGGAGTGGGGCCGCCCTGAGGCAAGGCTGTCCTCACTTGTCAAAGGACAAGAACTAGGTGAGAACGGTTGGAGGGCATTAAAACACCGGCGAGTCGCCACAGTCCCGGGTAAGCGTGAATGCCCACAGCATCCTGGGTATCCTCACTCTTCATCAACCTCCTTCCAGGGACCTTCAGGGGGATGCCACAGGAGTTTAGGGCAGAACCAGAGCCTAAGACCCTTCACTCAGGCTGCCACATGTAGCAGAACCAGCCAGAGAAAGCTTCACCCTCGCCCCACTGCCCCATATCATCTCTGAGGGCCTGTGGGTGCCCCCCAGCCACTACCACCTCCTCGCCCCGAGGCTCCCAGGGGGGAACTCAGCTTTGGGCTCAGGTGTGACTGAGCTTTCTCAGAATCTCCCTCAGCCCCTCCCTCACACGCTGAGGTGAGCGCTTCGTTTATGAAGGGCATACCCGGAGCCAAGAACACTGACCTGAGTTGCTTACGTCCAGGGCATGGAGCCAGGGTGGGCCCAGCCGCTGGGCCCGGCTTGTCCTCCATGGCTGCACCCCTGCAAAATCTGCCCACTGCCCAGGCTTCACCCCTGAACCACTTCAGAACACAGTCGCCCTGCCTACTGTCACATCTCCTCTTAGGGCAGGGGGAGCTCCTGTAGGTCACCTGGCCCAAGCCCCTCGATGTGGGGAGAAACCGAGGCCCGAAAGGGATGAAGCTGCCACAAGATCCAGCTCCTGTGTCTTTTGGTCCCACACTAGGACTACCATGTAAACCAAGTCCTCCCCTCCCAAAGGCATCCGAGCTCCCACTGCCTCCCCGCCCCGCCCAGGGTCCCAAGCCAGAGGTGCGACTGTCAGGGCACAGGCCCGCCTCATGCTGTCCCTCTGCACACAGGCCACAGAGGTCACAGGTGTGCAATTCCCGGGCCACTTGGGGCTCCACTGGCGGTATGGCAAGAAAGGCACGCTTCCTCCCCAGACCCTCCAGCTTGCTCCAGCACCGCCCTTTGCATCATGGATACGCACCACACCAAACTCAGCCCCTCAACTGCATACCCACGAGGGGAAGGGCCTCCCCAGAGGCCACCCACAGGTCAGGGTGGAGCCGGAGCTCCTTCTGCCTCCCAGCCCTGGGCAGCCAGCTTGCCCTGGGACACAGGTCCCCAGGAGACCACTCATGGGAAAAAGGCCCAACACAGAGTGGTCACTACCACCTTGGAGCCTTCTGACCAGGAGTGGAGAAATGGCACGAGACTGACAGTGACATGAGAACTTCAGTTACAGCCCAAAACACTAAAGGCAGACTTCTGGGAGGACCCCAGAATCCAGCAAGATGGACGGAAAGTCCTTTACAGACCACCAAGTCCATCATTTTATAGATGGCAACATTGAGGCCCAGAGAGGCCTGGTAACTTGGGAGTAAGGCACCAGCAAAGAGAAGCCAGGGGCTCCTAGCCCCAGCCTGTGAGCTGCTGCAGGTCACAGAGGTCATCCAAACCTGGCCCAGTGGCCTAAAGAGTGGCAGGGGGAAGGGAAAGGAGAAGCCCCCAGCTCTGGGGCCACATCCATCACGCCCAACCCTCATCCCAGTCAGGGCAGCAGCGGTATCTCCCTGCAAGAAAATAATCGCTCATCTCCTCCAAGAGCCACCTCCACGGGCCCATGCTGCCCGCTGCTCCTGGGTCCACAAGGGCCAGGCTGGGCCATGCTCGCTCCCACGGGAAGTCCATGGTGGCCCCTGCAGTTTGTCCAGGAAAGGCTGAGCTACCAGGACACCCTGGAGTCCCAGCGGCTGGGCAAGCGATGCAGCCTCATGTCTTCCTTCTGGATGTGCTCGTAACAAGACTGGTGGGAGAGAGGCGAGGATGAGGTCAGCTGGTCTGCCCGCTCCCAGCCACGTGCACAAGATCCAGGGCCCAATATTGGGGTGCGCTCACCTCCCGGGCCTGGACCACCTCCAACTCAGCCCTCAGCCACCCTGCAAGGAAATGGGGCCCTCCCTCTCCTACTGTGCTCTGGGATACAGCCTGGAACACACTCCAGGCCCTGGGGATCTGAGGGCTGGGATGCACTGTGGCCATCCCCCACCCCCACCCGGCCCCTTTTAACAAGGGCAGGAGCAGGGGCTGTGAAGACGCTGCGATGGAGACACATAAGCTGTGAATTTCAGCTCATCCCTGTGATGGTGTTTGGGGTGAGGAAGGGGCTGGCCCACTCCCTCTGTCCCTCACCTCCAGGGCTGTGAGCAGAAAGTCATACAGGCCTCCTATGTGGATAGGTTCCATCAGGTCACGGATCAAGTGGATCTCGGCTCCCAGGTGCTGGATTCTGGAGAACCACCGCCCCACAGTGAGAGGGAGAAGAGGGCATCAGGGACAGGCACTGAGCAGCTGAGGAAGGAGCCCTGGCCTGGGTGGCTAGACACCTGGGGTGTGGCCCCTACTCTGCTTCTGGCACTCATGGGTGGGTTCCTGGGACCCTGCCCTCTCTGGGCCTCAGCTTCCCCATCTGTACCAAGAAAAGCTGTGTCCACAAACCCTGATGTTCAAAGACCAGAGCACGTCTTGGTTGGGGGTGGGATGGGGCGGGGCAGGGTGGGAAGGGATCCTCCTGCAGCCTACCCCCCAGCTCTGTCTGGCTGGGCTCACCGGGCACGCGATACCACATAGATGAGCAGCGGCAGCAGGTCGTCCATGGGCAGCTTGTGCTCCTGGCCCAGCACCCGTGACACGGTGGCCTCAATTTCCCCATACGTCCTCTCCAGCACCTCCAGCTTCTCCCGGGGGTCTACCGTGGTGCTGCAGCAGGGGCACTGGCTCCAGATCAAGGCCCCTGGGTTCAGTCCCAACCAGGGGCCCCAACACCCCTGCCTCCACCCCCACCCTCTGGAGGGCACAGACTCACATGATCCTCTGCAGACACTCGGTAGCTGACAGGAAGCACTTGTCCCTGACCAGGGAGCATCTCTGCAGGGAGGGACAGCAGGCTGGATGAGGCTGCAGCTCCTCCGTGCTGTCACCTCCTTCCCAGGGCCGGAGCTGGCCTTGAGGCCCTTGCCTCCCACCCCTTCTCTATCACTGGCTTCAGCACAGCCCTACCCACAGGGTTGGGTGACACAGGGCAAGTCACAGCTCCACCATGAGCCTCAGTTTACTCAACTGTAAAGTGGGGTAAATGGTCTCCAGGAGGTTGGGAGGATCAAAGCGGATAGGAAGACAATCATGACAGCCAACGGCCACTGGGTGCCACCTACTTCTGAGTGCCTAAGTCAACGTCTCTCAAACCCAAGGGCTTGTTGAAACACTGATTCTGGGTCCACTCCCTGAGTTTCTGACTCAGTAGGTCTGGGGAGGGTCCAAGTATCTGCTTTTCTAATAGGTTCCCAGAGGCTGCTGCTGCTGCTGGTCCAGGATGCACACGATGAGAACCACAGCCTGTTGTGCACCAGCCCACCTCCTCCTCACAGCAACCCCGTGTAGTAGTACTAATACTACAGCACGGAGTACTTTCTCAGACGAGGAAACTGAGGCACAGAGGTCAAGTACCTTGCCCACGCTCACACAGCCAGGAAAAGGGGGGAAGCTTGCTCACCGGGCCGGCGGCTGCACCCTCGCCCTCGCTCACGGGAGACAGAACGACGCAGGAGGCCTGGTGTCGCCCCCGTCCCCGCAGCTGCCCACCCGGCCCCTCTGCAGTCTCTGAGCCGCAGTCAAGCGGCTGAGGGCTGCTTGGAAGCCTGAGCAAATTCTGGGGGCCCAGCTCAGGCTCAGGCCTCCCTCTCCCTGGGGCAGGTAACGGGCCCACCCTTGCACCTGATTGGTCGTCAGCTTGAGGTCCTTGAGGGGCCACAGGTGCCTGAAATCAAACAAGTGAGATGGAAGGCTTTGCCAGGAGCAGGGGCAGGCCCTGAGGTCAGAGGGCAAAGTCCCTGTGCATCTTGCCCCCAGCACGGCTGAGAGCAGCTAATGGGTCCACAGTGGCATCCTGGAGTGCATGTGTGGAGCCCAAGGCAACAGGGGGCTGGGAGGGATTCCTGGAGGAGGGAGCCCTTCATCTGGTCCCAAAACGTGAGCAGGACTTGGCTAGGGTGAGGGGCAGGGGGTGGGGGAAGCAGTGCTGCAGGCCAAGGGACCCTCATGAGCAGAGTCCTGGTGGTCAGGCCAGAGTGAGAGTTGGGGAGACTGTCTGGGGGCTTGGCAGCCAGTGCAGGCTGGCAAGCAGGGAGGGGCACAGACGCCAGGCAGTGCAATGCAAGGCAGCGACTTGGGAGCTAGTGGAGCAGGGAGGCCAGCATGGAGGAAGTGGCACAAAGGCAGCAGGGGTGGCTGGGGAGGAGGGACCCTTGGGAAGCTGCTGGCGACCAGGTGTCTGGGCTGGTGACTGTCAGATGCAGGAAACATTCACCATGATGGAAAGAGAAACCATGTTTTTGGGGGTGGGTGGGAAGCACCCTCGCTATGTGACGGAGGAGACCGGGTGTGGGAGGAGAGGGAGAATGCATGCCCTCCATCGGGCGGGGGTCACTCTCAGTATCAGGGAGCAGAAGGGGCACTAAGGAGAAAGGTTATTTTGGAGACCAAGGAGAGAGGGGAGGCCTAGCCCTGCTCCAGGACCAGGCCCCTTTCTGCCCTTGAGGATCTCCGCTCCCCTGCTCTCAGTCAAGAGCTAGGAGCGGGAGACCCTGCCCCAGTGGTCAATATTGAGGTAGGCCTGGCCAATATGCCACAGCCAGCATTCAGGGGGAGGCTCAAGACCCAAGCCAAGCTAGTGAGGAACTTCAGGGGCCCTACTGGAGCTGTCAAGAGGGAGACACCAGCTCCCTGAGAGGACAGTAGGAAGATTGAGCTGGGAGAATATAAACCTTAAGTGCTGGTGCCGTGTTACCATAAGCGGCAGCCAGAGACAGACCAAGAGAGAAAGAGAGTTGCTTCCCTTTGCCATGCAGTTAAGCACGGAGATCCAGCCACACCTGAATCTAGCCACACGTGCATAACCCTAGAATTTCATGGGTACGTGAGCCAATTAACACTCCCCCTTTTTTGCTGAAGACAATTTGAATTGCACTGGTAGCCTCTGCTCCACAAGAGCCCTGGCACACACGGCACGGGGGGATGGCTTACTTCTGCACGTCCAGGAACTCGAGCAGCTTGGTGTCGGGGAAGAGGCTCAGGTGGGCAATGCCCTGGCTGTAGAGACTGTCCTCTCTCTCATGAAGAAGCAGGTAGAGAGTGAAGAGCTCTGAGTAGAAGCTGGGCAGCACGAGGGGCAGCACCAGTCCATGCACCTGCAGGTCCCTGAGTGACGGTGACCAGGCTGGGGTCAGCAGGGTGAGGGCCTAGCGGTGGGGATCACTATTCATGATCCCCATTTAATTCAAAGTAAAGCCAGGGCCCTGGATAGACAAACACTCAGCAGCCATTCCAGGCTAGTCCAGTTCTGCCTCCTGGTTTTCTGCGTTTCCTAGGACTCCAGGGGGAAGTTTTCCCTCCTGTCACATACACTTTCCCAGGCCTCCTGCAATGCAGTGACAGAAAGGCCTCTCTGATCAGGATCTCTGGGCCTGGAATCTGAAGGCAAGTTGTAAGATTTGGTCTCAGGGGACCAGGAGAGACAGATTTAATGACCCACATAACTCCTGCTCTGTGTGACCTTAGGCTCAGCCCCTACCAGGCCTCAGTTTCCCTATCCATGCACAGGGAGAAGGAGGGTGCCTGGGGAAGTTGCTCACCCTCTGCACACTCAAGAGATGAGGTTAAGATAACACATGTAGAATAAAGATGCACTTGGTGCATTGTACAGGGGTCCCCGCCGGGGTTGCTCAAGGAACAGAGGTCGTAGGTCATTCTGACCCCCAAACAGTCAATGAATGATGCTCGGTCAGTGGCATGAACTCTCAACACTTCCCCAGGTATAACCCCTTCCCCCGAGCACAGGTGTGAGGCCTCCCTGGACCCAAGCCTGGCTGCCCCAGGGGAGAGGACCCTGCAGACCCCATGGGAGCGCTCACCTCGTCTCTGCGTCTTCGTCTTCCTCTGGAGCCTGGCCTTTGCGCTGTAAGGCAACCTGCAGCAGACCCCTGCAACCCAAAGAGAAAGGGACGGCATGGCTGCCACCTCCCAGAGCACCGGAGCCACCAACTGCCAGGGAAGCTGGGCTTTGTCCCCTAGAACCATGGAGCATGAGGCCTGCAGAGCCGAGCCTCCCAAACCTCAGCAGTCAGGAGGCTGGGAGTACAGGACATCAGCCCAAGAGTCTCGGAGCCCCGTGACAGAAGGAACTGACGTGTCCAGGACCCCCATCTGTAATGTCTGATGGGGTCGCAGCTCAGCCAGGACTGGAGATGAGGTCTGAGGCCAGGGTGAGGCTCAGTTTAGAGTTCCCCTGGGGTGAGGGGTCGGCCCAGGGCCTGGTGGGAGCTTGGACTCTGGCCATGGCTGGGCCCTGCTCTTTCATCTACCTTCTAACCCCACTGCTCCCCAGCTGCACACTGACCAGCCCATCCTATGTTTCCTCCTCGATCCAGACCTGAGGGAGAGGCGCCATTCCTGCCCAGGGCGCCAAGCAGAGCTGACACCTGGAAAGGGCACAGCCCACCCGCCTGGGCTCCCAGGGCAGTGGTGGGCCCCACGTGCCACCGAGCTCACCTGTAGGCGGCCCAGAGTTCCTGGGCGTGCTGCTTCACCTCCTCCTGGGCCAGCCCCTGCAGGTGCTTGTTGGCCCCGATGCCTGCGTACGTGGCCTGGAAGGTCAGCATCAGTGTCCGGAGCACTTTTCCCAGGGGGTGTAGCCAGTTGCTCAGAGCCTGGGCAGGTGTAAAGGCAACAAACAGATGCTCAGGCCGGGGGCTGGAGCACAGCCTGCCCAGACACGACCCCCAAGTCTGCTCCCATTTCAGAGATGGGAACACTGAGGCCTCTGAGGAGAAAGGGGCCACGGGCCTGTCCCCTGGGGTCAGCAGCAGGGGGCAGTGAGAAGGTCGCCTCCCGGCAGGCCGCCCTCCCCAAGGCCTCTCACCTTCCTGAGGCACTGCTGCAGGGCCTTGGGCTCCCGGTGCTGCAGCAGCTCCTCCAGGATGTCTTCCATTCTGCATGCACTGTCCTCAGAGTGGCTCCTGGGGCACCGTGCACACGTCTCTCACCCACACCTGGGCCCACGCCCACCCTCTTCAGGAAGCCTTCCTTCCTGTGCCCTCTGAGCCCCCTGACCTCAGCACAGGCCCTCTGGATGCCCTCGTGGGTGCACACGCACACGCACGCTGGGCCTCACCTCTCACAGCACAGGTACTCCTGGGACTTGCGCAGCTCCTTCGAGCTCTGCACGTGGAAGCCCAGCAGGGCCTCTTGCAGCTCCGCAGGGCAGCCAGCGCGCACGAAGTCCCGGAAGGGGCCGTAGACGCCCTGCCAGCGGCTCTCCACGGGGAAGGCGCACAGACCCAGCTGCCTGCAACAGAGGTGGTGGGGATGAGGGGCAGATGGAGCTACGGTGGGTAGGACCCTGTCGGCGCCTGGCCCCAACTCAGGGCCCAGGAAGGGTGGACGGATTTGGGGGACAGGGGGGCTGACCTCCAAGGCTCCTGGAGGACAAAGGAGAGGTGGAGAGAAGGACAGAGAGAATCTACTCCACGGTGGAGAAGAGAGACAGGGGCACACAGAGCCTGCAAAAGGAGACAAAGATCTGGAGAGCTGGAGGCCAAGTCCAGAGAGTGCGGTCTTGGCCTAAGAGAGCCCAGGGCCCGAAGTCCAGGATTCCCCTGCCATGAGACCCCACCCTCCCTCCCACCACAACGGGCTCCTTCCTGAGCTTGATCCTGTCTTGGCCAACAGGCCTGAGGGGTTCGGGGCATGTGTGTCTAGTGGACACTGTCTAACGGGTCACTGCCCTCCCGTGTCATGCTCACAGACTTTCCTATACCTGCACCCCACCGGGCTGGGTCATATCCCGACGGTTTGCTGTCCACTCCCAGCTCCTGCTGTCAGGAAGCAGCATGCAGGGACAACAGATCAAGGAGTCAACTGTACCCCCTCCCTACATCTGAAATGCTGCCTGGGACCATTAGAACCACCATCCACACCTCAACAGACATGGCGAGAGTCACCACTTGAACTAGAGTTTTCCAAGTAAAAACTCTGTCCCCGTGGAGAAGAAGCCTCTCCCCTTCTCAAATATCCCATGATAGTGACACCGAGGCACTTAGCAAGTTTCCTTCTTCATGTTGGCTGCCAGGGAACCCAGAGCCAGGTTAAGTTCAAGTATAACCACTGTGAGGCCTTATCAGTACTTCCCTTTCTTTTAAGCTCAACTCACACTTTTATTTTTTATTTTGCTCTTGTTTGTTTTGTTTTATAAACTGTCTTGTATCATTCCTAGAAAAAAAGCAGGGTTTAAGCAAAACCTACACATGATATTTTGTGGCATGTGGAGTTATTGCCACATAGTCCTTGATTCCAAGAGTCTCTCACTGAGGGTTGTGTGACCTGGGCTCTCTTATCCCTCCAAAGAGCCAGGAGCAGTTCAGAAGGCCCCTGTGATGAGGCCTGAGTCCTTGGGGTAGAAACACACACAGACACCCACCACAGGCCCTGGAACGCGTGGGCCAGATGGGCAGGCTCTTACCTCTTGCGGGTGCAGCTTGGGTCTGGGGGGAGGGCAGCTGTATCCAGAATGCCCTGGGTGTGCAGTCCTCCTCCTGCCTCGCTGCCAAAAGAGCCCTCCAGGGTGAAGCCATTGGGGAAGGTGACCTTGCCCTGGAAGCCGGGAATGGAGGCAGGGATGTCCGTCCACCCATCTGTCTGTCCAGCTGCCCTTCCAACCAATTGTGACAGGCCTCATGTTGTCCATCCTGTGTCACAGAGGCTAGAGACTGGTGGGTGGCCTTCTCACCATCACCCAATCTGCCCCATCTTGAGGGGCTCATAATCCTCCATCCCTGCAGGAGCCCCTGACCAAGAGCTGGCCCGCTGCCCAGGGGCTCATCTCTGAGGGTGAAGACAGGGAGAGAGAGAAGATACTCACAGGTCAGAGTGGGGGAAGCACTGCTGCAGGGTGGGGGGAGGTAAGTCCAGAAGTAGGCAGAGGCCTGGGCAAGGCATGGGGTGCCCCTGGCCCCGGGGAGGGGAAGGCACAGGGTGCCCCTGGCCCTGGGGAGGGGAAGGCGTGGGGTGCCCCTGGCCCTGGGGAGGGGAAGGCGTGGGGTGCTCCTGGCCCTGGGGAGGACAATTCTTTGCTGCATGGGGCTGTCCCATTCATAGCACTCCCAGTCTCCACCCATGAGCTGCCACAGTGTCCTACAGTCATTACGAAACCAAAACAGTCCCCACACTTCCAAAAGCCTCAGCAGGGACACAACTGCCTCCAGCTGTCAGCTCACACAGGAACACACTGAAGGACAGTGACTCCAGGGGCACCTGCCCAAGGCACTGATGCTGGTGGTGGAGGGGGTGGATTCCCAACTAGGGGGCCAGTGGGAGGACAGATCCCGGAGACCACGAGCACCTTCTACATGCAAGGCAAGCCTGCTGCCCCCTCCTGACTCCCGCCAGGATCCAATCACACCTCCGCAGCACGGAGGGTCGCTGCACCCGCCCCTGGATGTGGTGGAGATGGGAGACGCACTCCTCGCCCCTTGCCACCCACTGCCCACACGCTCAGCCCTGGGTCCAAGAGCAGAGATTACAGACTCCAGCCAAGGCCTCGGCAGGGAGTAGAGTGGGGTCCCAGGGGCCCTCACCTTCCCCACAAGGGTCAGGTCTCTGGTGAAGGTGCCCTCGTACAAGGAGTCGTCTTCAGTGAGGAGGACACCTGGGCCCTAGGGAAGGAAGCCAGGGAGAGTAGGAGCAGTGGGTTAGGAAGGACAGGGAGACTGGGGGAGGGAAGGGGACGGGAGGAATGGGGGAGGTGGGCATTCACCCCTGGGGCAGAAGAGTCCTGAGCCCTGTCACACCTCCCAGAACTCTGCCCAGGTGAAATGCCAGCCCTCGGCCCTCTGTGCCCTGAGTACCAGCCCATTGGCCTCATCCTGGGTCACCCTGAGCACCACCCTGGGACCTGGCTCCTCCTCTCCAGTGGCCTCTCTCAGGAAACCCCTGGGGGACCCTGCCTTCACTCCTATGTCTCAGGAAGTGCTGGGCTTCTCCTGAACCATCTCTACCTCCCTGTCACTGACCCCAGGACAGTGGAGCTGATCAGGCTCCCTTGCTGCACTGGCTGCCAGGAAGCTCAGAGCCAAATGAGATCCAATTTGTGTTCTACGTATTTCTGAGTCTATTTTATGTGCCTATTCTTGCCTTCTCTTCCTCCTTCAATTCTTCACAGAACAAAGTGGAGCATAAACAAACAAACAAGCCATAATAACAGTAACAGCCATGAGACCAGAGCCCCACTCTGTGCCAAAATACCTGGCAGGGTGGAGATGAGGCAGAAGGTGAGTGTTGGTGTGCCTGGGCTCAGGAGCAGGTTCTCTGACCTCTCTGAGCCTCACATTTGTCACTCATACATTAGGGACCATGACATGACCTGCAGGGTGACTGGAAGGATGCCAGAGATCATGCTGGGAGGCTCAGCCCACAGACCTCAGTTAGGGGTCTATAAATGTTGGCTGCAGAGGCTGTTGGCATCATCATTACCATGTACTTCATTCTTGCATTCAGCTGAGTGTTTAAGATAAGTAGCTAACCTGAGTTGCAGATGGAGAAACTGAGGCTGGGAGGGGCAGGGACTTGGCCAAGGCCAGAGTAGGGAGCTGGCAGAACTGGACGCCAGCCCAGGTTCTGGCTCCCTCCAGCACCTAGAAACCCAGCTTCCCGCCCCATCCACCCCTGACCAGCCTCAGCGCAGCTTTGGCGCCCCCAGAGCAGGGAGGTTCCAGAATTCAGCCCAGGTGCAGGAAGAGAGGAGCTCAGGACAAACACAGGTCGCCCCACTCACCACCATCTTGTCTGCCTGGAAGGTCCCCTGGTAGCAGATGCCTGCCTGGGTGACCATGACCCCCGGGCCATGGCGCTGGTCAGCCTGCCACATGCCAATATAGCGCTCACCCCTGAGGGAGGAGGGGGTGTGGCCAGAGTTGGATCAGAATCCGTCCCATGCACCTTCTGTGTGCTCTGCTGGCATGGGAGGGTGGGCACACAAGGAGCAATGACATCGCCTGAATCCACTCAACTCAAATCCGGGGCAGGCGAGGTCAGGACCACAAAGAGGAGCAGCTGGTGGAGGAGGGATGGAGCCTGCCTGGGGGAGGGCACCCTGGCAGGCTTCCTGGAGGAGGTGGTAAGAAGGACAAATGGAGTTGGGGGTGCGATTCAAGCAGGTGCAAAGCCATGGAGGCAGGAGTGTAAGACACATGTGGGGATGTCCAGTGGTCTAGAAGGCTGGAGGGGTGCATGGGCAGCACAGCAGGGTAAGGTCAGAGAAGGAGTCAAGGCCTCGAATACCAGGCAGAGGACCCTGGGCTTAGTCTCACAGCCCAGAAAGCCTAGAAGGGCTGTGATCCTTAGACGGGACAGATCTGGGGTAGAAGCTCCTCTCCGACAGAGCAAGGAGGCCGGAGTAGGGAGGCTCCTGCACTCAAGGGCTCCCTCCTCCTGAGCCTCGGCAACAACTGAGGGAGTGGAGAGGAAGTGAGGGACTTCAGACTCAGGGGACAAACAGAATGGACCCACGGACTACATGGAGCCCACGCCCTGAGGAAATTTGCTTCGTGAGGGTCCTCTCTGTCCCCTAGTCCTAGGGGGGCTGCAGAGTGCTCACCTGTCACTGTCCTCCTCGACGCCATAGCCACTCCTCTGGCCCCTCTCCCAGTGGCCCGTGTACTTGCAGGGCTGAGGGGCCTGTGGGGTGCTCTCCAGGACCCCAAATCCATGCCGCAGACCTGCCTGGAAGTAGCCCTTGTACACCTTGTCAGTGCCGTACCTGGAGAGGGGCACCGATGGCTGGCCCCGTCAGCCCAGAGGACACACCCGTCCCATGAGCCCACCCGGCCGTCCGGCCCAAGGTCACTTACTCACAGATGCCGTAGCCGTTCATGCTGCCTTCCCACCAGTGGCACTTGTAACAGTCAAACTTGTCCTCAGAGGCCCGGGGCACCAGGCGGATGCCAAAGCTGTCAGTGTGGGTGGAAAGGGAGGAAAGTCAACATCGGGGCCACCGTCTGGCCCGAGACACCCCGTCCCACCTGCTCCATACCACCCAGGAGTGTTCCTGCCTCCAAGGGGCCTTCTCAGATGATGGGGAGAATCTCACAGGTGTTCAGCGCCCCCTCTTCTTCCCAAGGGCCCCTATCAGCACCCCTCACACCCCCATCCTGACCCCAGGCACCCTGGGAGCACCTTCTGATCCTGGACCACTCCCTCCATGACCCGCCCCACCCTCGGAGCCTCGGTTCCCCTTTTGAACAATGAGGGGAGCTGGACCAGATGGCCTCTAAGTTCCCGCTTGAGCTTTGGGAATTTAGGATGGAGCCAGGCTGGTGACAGTGGCGGGGTGAAAGCCATTCCCCTGCCCACATACCCTCCCACATCAGCCCCAGCCTCACCCATGCTCCAGGCCCTGGCAGAAATTCCCTACATGGTTCCGTCCGTCTGGCCACTTCAGGGTCCCCCTGGAACACAGTCGAAGTCCACAGGCATCAGGCCCACCAGACCGATCCTTCGACACACACAGGACCCCCAGCCAGCCTCCACTGCAGACTCTCTGAGGCCTAGGTTCCCCTTGGACTGGACTCTCTGCCTCCACTCAGCCCTCTTCTCTGAGCTCTGTGACCCCATAGGGGCTCTCAGCCCTTCTCTACTCCTGGCACAACTGCCCCAGCAGCCTCATGGGGGCACACTCACCAAACCCTGTAGCAAGAGCTCTGGAAACATCCAGGTTCCCTTTTTTCCCTTAACCAACAGGAAGCTCAGAGCTAAACTTCAAGCTCAAGCCAGATGCTAGTCAGTGGGGTTTCTAGCATCCTCCTCCCTCTTCTGACGTGGCATTACTTTTCCTATCTTTTTGTTCATAAGCTTCCTCCAGCCCTTTCCGGAAGCAGGCAGGGTATCAGAAACTAACAGACATGCTTGCAAGGGTAACTCTGGAGTCCCTTCTTTTTCCTGGGTCTTGGTTTTCCCAAATGTAGCACAGGGAGGGGCCCTATGTTCTTCAAAAGCCTACCTGCCCGTGGGGTCAGACCTGCGACTGAGGCGAGGCTCACCCTATAACCTGCCTGGAGGCCTTAGGCAAGAGCCACCCCTATGACATAGGTGATGACATGCCCACAGCCTTCTCGTGAGGACTGATGAAGACAGGATGTCCACAGACCATCTCCACCCCACCAGATGGTGCTACGCAGATATGACAATGACTCCTCCACCTTCCTAAGAACAGAACAGCAACTGCGGGTCCCGCAGGCCGGCCACCTGACGTCTGCCCCATGCTCTCCAGCGTCACCATCATCATGACTTTATTTTGCAGACACCTACTATAGGCCAGGTCCTGTCTAAGAGGACTTACGAGAGACTCTGGAGAACAAACAGAACTGACTGAACTGACCACAGGGAGTAACAGCCTTTGGTTCTTGCCCCAAGGCAGACTTCCAGGAGGAGCCCTGCCTTGCTCGCCCCAGAGCCCCGGTCACTCACTTGCCATGGGGCCTGCCCCGGCACCACTCGCCCTCATAGGTGGCCTCGCAGAGCCGGCCCTCCGCGCGGAAGGTGTAAGCTGCGCTGCGGCAGGCAGGAGCTTCGGAGGCCTCCAGGCCAGCCCCCAGCACCGGGAAGTCCTTCTTCCCACGCAGGGCCTGGCACACAGCTTGGGTAACCTTCCTCTGCCAGACCACCTGGTGGGGACAGGGGAAACACAGGACAGGTCACTACTGCTGGAGGCAGCCCCTCTAGGAGGCACCTTCGGGGGTGGCTCTAGGTAGCCCCTTCCACTCCCCGCCCCCACCACGCTCTTGGGGGACCTCCCCAAGTCCCCCTCCTTGGGGGACCTCCGACTGCTCCACACTGCTCCTTAGGGCCTTCCACCCAGACCTAAGATCCTTGTCTGCAGTTTCAGGGCCCGACCAGAGAGCCAGACACAACCACTGGGCAGGGAGCAACACGGCCCCAATCCTGGCTTCACAAAGAAAAATACCCTGTTCTCTGATGCCTGACCTCAGACTGACTCGTGACCCTCTGACCATGACCCCAGAGGCCTGACACTCCCATGGAGCCTCCACGGTTGTATACTTGTGCCCTCCCCATCATCTGTCACCCTCCCTAACTCCCGTGACCCCACTCCCCCAACTCACAGTTCATCTGCACTCACCTGGCCCTGAGGGTCCTTGGAGCTAAAAGAGAACTCTTCCTCAGGCGTGAGGAGGTGAGACGTGCACCTGGACAGATGGAGGCGATGAGTAGGCCCCAGCTCTGGCCAGGAGAGTGCTGAGGGAGGGCCTGGGGTGCAGACAGGTTTCATGGGGGTGGAAGGAGGGAAAGCCAGGGGTGTCCCTGGAGGGGCCTGCTCACCCGTCCTGCCCAGGATCCACCCACACGAGCTTCAGATCAAAGGTGTGGAAATTGGAGCCCTGGAAAAAGATGGGGCACAGGCGTCCTCTAGAGCCCAGACCAGACGCTCTCCTACTCCTCCGACCCAGCCTAGCCCCCAAGCACCAGGCCGCTGGCATGCCCCATGGTGTCCCTCGGCTGCCCAGTCCAACATGCCAGCACTGTGTCCCTCATCACCCTGCCTGTTCCCCATCTCCAGGGAGCTCCTCCATCTCCCTTCCCACCCGAGGGCCTGGCCAGGAACCCCGGAACAGCCTCCTCTGCCCCCCACCATCCTGCTCCATCATGGCCACCAGAATGATCTTCTGGAAACACAGCTCAGACCCTGTCAGCCCCTGCTGGAAACCTCTCTAAGGCTCCTATGCCTGAGGGATAGAGACCTCACTGTGAGCCTAATACCTGAGACCACACAGCCCACTCCCAGCACATGTGCCTTAGCCCCACCCTCTCCATACCATGGCACCACAGCCACTCCACACTCGCACCTTCTCAAGCTCGCCCCAAACTCTCCTGGACCTGAACCTCTGCTCATGCTGCTCCTCCTACCTGAAATGCCATCCCTGCTGTGAGAGCCAGACTGAGCGCCCCTTCCTCTGAAAGATTTTGTGTAGTGACCTCCTGCCTGGTGCCATAGGAGGAGGAGGAGGCACCAGGCCCAGGCCTGAAGGGGAAGAGTGCGCCAGACACAGGCCAGGGACAAGAGTCGGTCCGGCAGAGATAACAGGATATACAAAGGTCCAGAGGTGGGAAAGGGCTCAGAGAATTTAAGTTATAGTATGGTCAGTGTACGTGGAGCAGAGAGAGTGAAGTCGGGAGTGGAGGGGAACTCAAACTGAATCAGAACAAAGCCCAAAATGAGGCTTCAGGAGACCAGGGTTTGGGTGGGACAAGTAGCTTCCCTCCTGGGCCTCAGCTTCCCTGACTGCAGGGGAGTTCCAGACTGACATTGGAAGGAGACAAAGAAGACAGTGCTGTGGCTGTCACAAAGACAATATGAGCTAGGGGCACTAAGCACACTCAAGTTTGCTGGCCATGTGACAATCCCAAACCCAGGCCTGGCTCCCTCCTGACTCCTATAATGCTGAGGGCTCAGGCCCACGTCTATGTGGTTCTCTTCTCTAGCAGCCTTGCATGCACCCTGAGTGGTTCATCCAGCCCTCCTTAGCCAACAAGGGCCATCTGGGGTTCCTCTGGGGTTCCTCTCCTATTTGAAGAAGAGAACTAAGAGTTGTCTGGCATCCGGTAAAGGAGCAACTCGCTCACAATTATCCCATTTTCCAGATGAGGAAACCGAGGTGGAGACATTTAGCAAGGAGCCAGCTGGGAAGCATCAAGGCTGGGATGCACCTCGAGTGACCTTTCCCCACAGCCCACATGCCTTCAGAGACAGCTCCTGCATGCTGCCCACCCCCAGACCCCAGTACTCCGCCTTTCTGCCCCCATCTGCTCCCCATGAGCCCAAGTTCTCCCTCCCAGCTGTTTGTCTCTTTCCCACTCCTTTTTCAACCAGACCCCAGACCCCCCCTCTGGCCCCAAGACGTGTGGTCAGTCCCACCCCAACCTGTAGCAGAACGAGGGCATCATCAAAAAGCAGCACGCGCTCTGCCCGCAGCAGGGTGACTGTCACAGGTACATCCTGGCTGTCTTGCAAGAGTCGGCGAGCAGGGGTGCAGAGCACATCCTGGTGGGTGGGGAGGTGCAAGGCTCAGGCACTGCTGTCCTGGATGCTGCCGGCCACCCTACCACCTGCTCCTGCCCTGGACACCTCCCCCCTCACTCCAAGCATCTCCTGGAAGCTCCCAGGTCAGTGATGGACACTGGGGCTCTGAGGTCTGCAGGGTCCTCTTGGCCACTTCCAGCAGGGCAGCACAACTTCTCATGAAGCTTCACTTTGTCCTCCCCGGCCCCACCTCACACAATGGCCCCAGACAAGCCCCATCAAACCCCATCTCACCCGGGATTCTGCCATCCCAGCCTCTCTTTGGCAATTCTTGTCCCCTTTACCTGCTCTCCTAATTCTCTACTAATCCTCTGGGTCCCAAGCCTGTCACACCCTCTCGGGGCACAGAGGACTTTCCCCATGCAAAGGGAGTCCATGCCACACTGGGCAGTGCCATGGGGATCCAATCGTCTGACATCCCAGAAGACAGGGTCAGTTCTGCTGACAGCACTTCCCCAGAGCCAGCTCCTGACCTGGCCGAGGAGGTGCTCAACAAATAGGTGAAGATGCTAGACAGAGGGATCTCACAGCCACCTGGTTCAACCACCACCCCTACTTCCAGATGGGGAAACTGGCACAGAGAGTACAGCAAGCAGCTAGAGCCACCCAGCATGTCCCCACCTGATGGGAACCCCTTCCCTGACCCCTTCCCTGACCGCCCCTTAGGCCTTGAACTCACCCTCGGCCGGCTGCTCAAGGTGTGCCAGAGGGCCTGGGTGGCCACAGCCTGGTCCAGCGCCTGCCTCATGAAGGACTGTAGGTCCCCAAAGAGGGTGGCTGTGTGCACCACCAGCTCCCGGCTGGGGTGATGCTGCAAGCAGGGAGACAGAGCAGCCAGGCAGGGGCTTAGCGGAACCTTCCCACCCAGTGATGGCTGCCCCCCACCCTGGCCTGGCCCAACCTGCTCAGGAGGCCTGGGTCTATGCCACAGTTTGCCCTTTCCTCCCTGCCAGCTCCTCCTCTGGGGAGGGACCAGTATGAACATGCTTCCAGGGGAGTCAGGACCACTCAATGACTCCCCTAGCTGGGCCCGGGCCCTGTGTCCTCACTCCCAGGACTTGATTCTACATCTGCTCTCTGGGTCTCTGCTGGCTCCACCAGTGCAAAGCCATGTACCTCAAATCCCCCAGAACAGGATCAGGTCCCCAAGGTATGGCCGGGTCCTTCTCAAACCACGGTCCTGAGAAAGGCGGGTCCCCTGAGCCAAGGCCCTGTTTCTCCCCTCATTCAGCTCCCTCACAGGTGACAGGCCCAGCAAGCAGCACCTTCCACCCCTGCTACCTACCTCCCCGATGGTTTCGCTGAGGCTCAGCAGGAGGAGCACGTACTGCTGCACATGATGGGTGAGCGGCTGGCGGAGGGCCTGGACCAGTGCTGTACCCACCGAGCCCTCGGAGCTCATGCCCCACAGCAGCTGCCGCAGCACCTTCCGCTGGGCCCGCCAGTACTCGCTGAGTGGAGGAAGGGCCACAAGCTACCTTCACTCTCCCCTCCTCCATTCCTGCACCCACCACCATCGCCTCCCTGCTCTGGCTAAGCCCCCCAGATCCCAGGACCAGTCCCAGACCCCCAACTTCTCTCCTATCAGATCAACACAGTGCCTGAGTCAGGCTATTGGAGATTTAGTGGCAATATCTCCGAGTTGAAAGGGATCATTGACTACAACCATCCACCCTGAGGAGGAGGGTCCCTCCTTCCTTGCCCGCCCGCAGGGTCAGCCCTGGCTAGTGGCCTCACCAGGCTTCCCTCCCTCTATCCTGACATGGATCAGTGTGAAACTGTTCGAGCTCAGGAGGAGTCACGGGCTGTGACAGTCGCTGCTCTGGGGACTGGGCTTCCTCAACCCTTCCCTCCGAGACACCCCCACCCACTCAGAGGCCCAGTGCGGCACCCTGGGCTCACCTCCTCCTCTTTGCTGCCTTCTGAAAGGCCTGCACCACCACGCAGTTCGTATAGGACTCGATGTACCTGCAGGCAGCACAGGCGACACCCTACAGGCCCAGCTCCCAGCTCCAGATCCAAGGCCCTGCCCTTCAGGGGCCCCCAGATCTCACTCGCTGAGGGACTGTGGCCCCGAGCGCCCAGACAGTGGCCTGGCTCTGGGCACTGGCGACCTCAAGTCCCAACTGACCCAACTAGACAATTCAAACTCACAAAGTATTTCTTCCCTGGGAGGCCGTAGGCTCAGGTCTAGAAAGTCCGAGCCTGCGCCAGGCTAAATGCCCAAGCCCACTGAGGCCGACCCCAGGGGAGCCCCACCCCAGGCTGAACCAAACCTTTGCCTAAGTGCTGACCCAGCTGAGCCCTAGTGCCAGGTGCTTTCTGACACCCAGGCTGAGCCCCAGTCCCCCTCGACTGCCTTACTCCACGTGAACCTGCAGGACATGGTCAGCACGACGCAGCAGCAGCAGGGATTCCAGGCCGACGGAGTCTGGGTGGCACAGCCTCTCCTGCAGCGAGTGCAGGCTTTCCTCCATCACCTCCCAGAGCTGCTGGGAGCTCCCGTGCAGCTGCTGCAAGAGCCGCAGGCACTCTCTGCCCTGGGGATCCGAGGGCTCTGGGGCTGGGGGTGGAACACAACCACACTGTGAGGGGTGATGGAGCCACTCCACCTTCCAGGGAGCACACAGAGGCCCTGAGTAGTCACCTGAGGGCCAGCAGCACCCCAGCCCTGGAGCTGGAGCCAGGGTCCTGCATCCCTGGGGTCCTCGGGACAGGATTGGAAGCCCATGTGTCCCCTTGAGCTCAGCAGGGAACGAGAAGGCTGGAGTGGTCAGGAGCCCCGTCGAGGAGTAAATAAGGGCACATGTCCACCTCCTCACTAAACAGGGACAGCACTGATGACCTAGGGGCACCAAGTACACTAATTCCCTGAGTCTCTAGGCTTCCTCGGGTCCAGCATATGGAGTCTGTAGGGATCCTGTAATCCCTGCCACTCATGGATGCATGGACAGAGCTCCTGAGAGGAAGGCACCTGCCCAAGGTCACTTCATAAGTGAGACTCAAGCTGGAAGTAACACTTAGACATCCTGCAGTCCGATCTTGCACCAGGTGAGAACAAGATGAGAATCCAGGCCTGTGTGCTGGGAGAAGTAGAATTTTTGTCTACACACTGCCAGATCTGGGCTAGAACAGGGTTCACGGCCTGGCCTCTCAGGATACCTCTGAGAAGGGAGCAGCCAGCACCTGGGGGCTAGGACTCCAGGCCCATCAGAAGATGCCCATACCAAGTGTTACCACTCCCATTTTCAGCTGAGAAAGCTGCAGCTCAGAAGGTCCAACTAGGTAGGACTCCAGCCCCTGGGATGGTCTCTGTGTCCCCTGCCCCCCCCTGCCCCCCCACAGGAGAGCTGAGACTCACCAGCTGTGACCAGGGGCTGGAGGACAAGGCTGTTGATGCGGGCAAGGGTAGCCAAGAAGACCTCCTCCAGCCGCAGCAGGGCTGCCTCCTCAGGGCTGCACATGGTCCCGGTGCTGGATTCAGAGCCTGGGAGCGGGTCACAGTTTACAGTGAGACAGCACCGGGCAGCAGGGTCAGTGCCCACCTTCTCAGGCCATTTGGCCCACGACCACACCACATTGGAATGGAGCAACGAGCCTGAGTGGCCTCAAAGGGGAGTTCCTGGCCTGGCCACTTACTCCTGCCCCACTCTCCACCTGGGCCCAGCTTAAGGGAGCCTGAAGAAGTGGGAGAGAGGGCTCAGAACTGCCCAGGGAAGCATCCCTTTTCACCTAAAAAGGCAGACGCTCTCAAGGCCAGTTCTGGCCTCCTCATCTCCCTGATCAAACATCCACCATGGCTCCCAAGGGCTCAGAGTAATACCTAGCAGTGCTCTGACCCAGCACCCTCTCCAGTGAGTCTCTGGACACAAGGATATACTGTCAGAGGAGTCCAGTCTTTTAATCAAGGTCATGGCTCAGGACTCCTTGAGGCTAAGAGGGGACCCAACAGGGCTGTGTAAGCAAGGAGAGGTCTGTGGGAACAGTGGGGGTTTCCTGCTGGAGCCACGAAGGGTGGGCAAGAAATAAAGAGGCAGAGAGGAGGATGAGGGATGCAGGTGGTGCAGGTGGGGGAACCATGAGAGCAAAGGCTTGTGGGCATGAGGGTCCAGGCTCCACGGGCGGCCCACCAAGAGCACCCTAAGGGGCTGATGGAGGAGCCCTGGAGGACCTCAGAGCAAGGAAGTGGTGGTACCCAAAGTCAGACTTGGGGAGAGGGACTTGGTGACAGTTGCAGAAGAGATGGTGCTGAGCAGGGAGAGGATGAGGTCAGCATGGGCGGAAGCCAGACCCTCATAACCCTGCTGGATGGGTCTTTGTCAAGACCTGGGGGCCATAGGGGCAGGTGAGCTTGAGCCCTTGGACTTACTGCCCTGGAGTGAAGGACCCTCCAAGCAGCAGGGATCACCAGGGAATGCATCCTCCTGATGGGAGGGAGGGGCAGCAAGGGGCCTGGGCTCAAACCTACCTCCACAGCCAGGCTGCAGCCTCCAATCGGACATAGCCCTCTCCCACCAAACTTTGGTGCCCTCACCTGGCAAAGGAGGTCATCTGCCCAGATGACCTGACCAGATATCTCATGTGGAGAGCTAGAGAGTCTTTTAGTCCAAGACCCTCAGACTCTGCCTCTCCCTGGCTCTGACACTCTGAGGCTCTGGAGTTAGCTGACCTGGGTGGGGTGAGAGACATAAATTGAGGCAGCCAATGATGGGCAGATGACACAGGCAGACCCAAAAGGGCAAACGAGAAGGGGTCTCAGCCCTCCCCACCCAGTGCCAAGGACACCAAAGAGCATCCCAGGGTCCTGGCAGAGCCTACAACTCCCAGGGAATTGGATGTGAGGCGGGTGCCTCAGACCTCTGGCCCAGGGCCCAGGCCCAGGCATTCCGGCCCCACCTTTCCTGCTACTGCTTCAGGAGGGCGAGGCCTTGGGAGGGCGAGGCAGGAAGGGGAAGCGGCTGGACGCCCAGCTGCAGCCTTCTCTCTCTGCTGGCCCCTGCAGCAGCCCCAGCCCCTCTGGGGAAGGGAGCAGGTTGTTCCAGGTCAGCTCAAGCAGACCAGGAAAGCCCAGCCAAGGGGTCAGGGGTGCAGCAAGTGTGGTCTGGACCCACCTGATCCTCACCTGTATCTCCAGAAACTGATGTAATGGAAAGGTCCTTTGAGGGATGACCTTTGACCTTTCCACCCTCAGCTGGCAGTCAGTCACGGTCTGAGCTGAGAGGTGAGGACACTGGCTAAAGGCAGAGGGGAGAGGGTACAGCCAGGATGGGAAGTGTAGACTAGGAACCAGATCAGGGTGAGCCAGGAACCTGCAGCAAATAATTCGCTGCTGGGAGGCCTTGAGCACCAGGAGCCTCCACACTCACCTGAGGGCCAGGTAGCAATCCCCCCGTCCCCCCTGCCAGTGCCACACTCAGGGCAAGGAGCTCTCAGTCCTTCTCCACCTCAGGCTTCCTACCCCTTGCCCCCATGGGGCTGGCAGAGGCTCCCTTATGCTGGACCCCTGGCCCACACTTCAGCTGCTCCCAGAGGACCCCCTCCCAACCCCTCCCTGGCTGTTCAGCCCTGGTCATGCCCCAGCTTCTCCACAGCCCTGCTCCTCTCTGGGCCTCAGTCATCTCCTCTACCAAATAGGGGTCCGACTAGATCAGAGCTTGTCAAACTATTTTAGTCCTCCCTAAAAAGGATAAACTGATGCAGCAGAGCTGCTCTGGGTTTGGGGACCTGGTCCTCAGCCTCCCTTACCTCTCCAAGCAGCCTGGGGCCCCTTGGGACGAGTCTGACAGACCCCCAGTGACCCAAGTTTGCAGACACTATTCTGGGGCCCTTCCAGGTATGTGGCCCCAAAGAGATCTCTGACTCTAGGAAACCAAGTCACACTGCCCGGAGGAAGGACCAGAAGTTAAGCATGGCTCCTGAGGTGGCACAGGGGCGGGAGGAGGCTGCAGTTGAAGCTGACAGTCCGGTCTGGCAGCCCCGAGAGGCTCTGCTCCCAGGCTAGGGAATTTGGGGCTTCATCCTGGAGGCACTGAGGAGAGTGTGCAGGCAGGGATGAGGCAAGGCATGAGTGTGCATGAGTGTGTGTGTTTGCAGGGAAGGAGGGGGAGGTACTGAACCTTAAATGAGAGGGACCCAGCAGGAGTACTTCCCTCTCAAATCCTAGTCCCACCACCAACCCACCCCTCTCTGATCAATGGCATGGCCTCCTTACCCTCTCCTTCCATCCAGTTTTTAAGGTTCCTTAGTAATAAGCTGCACAGGACATACACATGGGGAAACTGAGGCCCAGGAAGGTATGGGAGGGCCCAGAGATACCCTACATAGAACACGTATAGGGCTCAGACCCAGGCCTCTGCCTCCCAGTCCCACCAGGCTCACCTGAGCTAGGTACTTCTGAAAGGCTGGGCAACTCACCTGAGGGCACACACCTGGAAGGGCCCAGCCTCCTACCTCCCCAGGCAGGCTTGATGCTCACCATGGGGCGGGGTGAGGACAGAACTGGCTAGTCTTGGCGTGCCTAGGTGAGTCAGCTGCCTGTCCCCATGGTGATCTAACCAGCAGCCAGACCTGCTCTCTCCCTTGCATTCTTGGCCTCTGTCCATGCTGTGTCCCTTTTGGGCAGGGTCGCTGAGGCCTCCCCTGCCCTCTCCAAGGCCTGGTCCCTCAGGCCCCTCAGCCACACCCTGTTATGGCACCCACTCTGGTATTTCCTGGTCTGGACAGGCAAGAAAGTTCTGCTTGCTGTGGAGGCTCTTTCCTGGGCTGTTCTGGAGCCCCCTGGATCAACCAGGAAGCCCAGTGGTAGACAGAGGAGAGAGGGGCTGCCCAAGGGAAGGGGCGCTGAACCGTCACAGCTGACCCTTCAGAGTCTGCACCTGGGGCTTTCCCCAGCACCTTTCTCTGCCCCTCTGTGACTCCAAGCCTCTTGTCCTAGACCCACACCCACTCCCAATCTCTCTCTGGTTGCATATTTCACAGCTTATCTTCCTTTCCCTGCCCAAGCACACAAAGTCACTTTGGGAAACTGCAGTTTCCCTAGCATCGGATCCCGTCCCAGCCACCCGGCTCATGCCTTTTCACTGCAAATACCACCAGCCGGCGTCAGCTCCTCCTAGCAGCCTCAGGCTGGATGAGGCCCCACGGCCCTCGAACCTCTTGCCCAAGCTAAGACCCTGGACACTGCGCTCGTGCGGTGCACGGCCGCGGGGAGGAGAGGGATGTCCCTGCGCTGCCCCTAAATGCGAGCCACGTAACCACGGGACAGGCAGGAACAAGCTGAACCCCGCTGGGACGGAAGGGGTCTTTGGACAAACTCGGACGGCCCAGGGGTGAGCGCCACTGGGGACCGAGGTATCGTGGAGGGACAGCGACGCAGCGGCCCGAGGGGGCGCGAAGGCGAAAGTCCCACCTGGCACCAGGAGAGCACGGAGCAAACGAGCCCGCCCACAGACGCGCGACCTCCACCCCGCCCTTACCTGTGCGCTCCCGGCGCCCAGCGCACGGAGCGCCACTGCCACTACCGCTGCTCCCTCGCCGCCGCCCCCACGCCGCCCAGCCCGTCTCGGGCCGGCCCCCATCCCGCCCCCGTCCGCTCCACCACTTCCCCCCACGTCTGCCCCTCCGCCGGTCCCCGCCGCCCCGCCCCCGTCTGCTCCTCCACCCGCCCCTATTCCGCCGCCCCGCCCCCGTCCGCTCCTCCACCTTCCCCCACGTCCGCCCCTCCACCCTAGTCCCCGCCGCCCCGCCCCCGTCAGCTCCTCCACCCCCCCCCGTTCCGCCCCCACCCCCCTCCTCTCGTCCCCCTCCCCCCCCCCGCCCCGCCGGTCTCGGGGCCCGCCCCCCGCCCCACCCCGCTGCGCTCCGCCCTTCCGCCCGCCCGCCCGCGCCGCGCCGCGCCGCGTTGCTGGGGGCTGGTGGGGTTAGGGGCCCGCCTGGAGGAAGCAGGACGTGGTGTCCGTGCGCTCTCGCTCCCGAGGTTTCGCCTGAGCTCTCCCTCTGGCGTTCTCCAGGGTCCAAAGGCTCCTGGGACCCAGCGCGGGCGGCAGAGGTAGAGGGAGGGGAATTGGGAAGCTTGACCCCTCCGCCCCCCACCAACGCACACACACTCAACGCTCAGGCTCGCCCCTCTGCCCGGGCGAGGGCTCCCAGGAGAGCCAGGCGGTGTCCGGGAAGCGGCCTGCGTTTCCGCGGCCCGGCAGGGCCTTCCTAGTCCCCCTGGCTCACCCTTCTGACGCTCTGCGGGTCTAGGGTGCTGCCCCGTGACCTCCTCGACGCGCACCGAGTCACAGACGCCCGCACAAGCGGCGCGCTGGGTGGGTTCGTGAAACTTGTAGCCGAGAGTGGGGTAAACCGAGGCTGTGCCGCGGTCCCTTGGGCCAGGCGTCAACGACCAGTTGCCACTCCTGTCTGTGTGATCTTGGGGAAGGCTGGGGGCCACTCTTCCCTCAGCCACTTCCCACTCACTGGGTGACTTCACGAGCATTACCAAATCCAGTTTTATCATCTATGAAATGGGGCAAGACCTGCCCAGCCCCTCTCCCTGCTTGTCCTTGGCTTGGGGCCAGGTAATTTGTCCTGGTGGTGCCCAAAGGACAGCCTCCCCTGGGTCCACCTGCCCTTGGCCCCCTGCAACACAGCCAAGGGCCCTTGCCCAATCCCACATGCACACACCCACCTGCACCACTCCCACATCGGCTGCACACATACACAATTCCACAGTCAATGGAATGTAGTGGTGTGTACACTCATTTGTGCCACATGGACCCGTCTACTATTGAACCCACTGGCAGGGCCTCCACGTTGCACACCTTGAGTGGCAGCCCTGTACATGGGCACATGTATGCAGACCATGTGCCTGTCCACATGGACACAGACTTACACATTGCTCCATGGAACACACACTGACTCACACCCAGACACACACAGAGATAAGTGCAGAGTGTACATGTCCTCCCATGTAAGAGAGTGCCCTGGGACACAAACACGTGTTTATGCACACACAGGTCTCACCCAGGCCTGGCCCAGCCCCAGAGCTATTCTGGGCCAGGCACCAGGCCAGCAAGGTCAGAGACTGCCAGCTCCCAGCAGGCCCCAGCCGCTGTGTCACAGGCCTAAGCCACCTAGCCCCCACCCCCAGCCCAGGCTAAGTCCAAGATGCCCTGGATCCCAGCCTGGCTCCATGACTGGGGGGGGATCCCTGCTCCCTACCACCTGCTTTCCCAGAGCTGAACCTTGATCCCTGGGGTTTCAGGCTCCAGGAGAGAACCATCCACAGGGTCCCTGGGCCACTGCCAACTGACTCTGCCGGTGGCTTCCAACTCAGAGGCCCTGGAGGCTGGACTGGATCCCTACAGGAAACCCACAGGAGCTAAAAATAGTATACAAGGGACAAACAGAGTTCTGCATGCCAGCATTCACGCCACCATGCATGGAGGAGAGGCTGTCTTACAGGGGAGCCAGACTGGGGAGCCTGGGGGTCCAGAGCTCCACCACCCCAGACCTGATGGCTCACATGGGGGTGGGGTGCAGGGGGCTATGGGGACTTCGTAAGAACTAGAAACAGTACTGGACATGGGCAGAGCCTTGGGATAAGGGCTGAAGACTGAGTTTGAGGCCCCTGTTCCTCAGTGACCTTAGGAAGGGCACAACCCCTCGCTGGGCCTCAGTTCTTCATGAGTAAACAGGGGAGACAGATAAAAAGGTGGAAAAGGTTTTAGCTTTCAGGATATTCCTCTCCCCACGGCATTTAACACTAGAGAAGTGGAAACAGTACAAATGTTGGGTAGCGGGACATTGATTGAACAAGGTATTGTTGGGTTTCTATACAGTGTAATATCACACTACCTTTAACAATGACAACAATAACTGTAACACCCAGCATTTACTGGAGGCTTCTGCCGTGCAGGTGCCGTGATACTGTAGTTATACCCATTTTACAGACGAGGGATTGAAGCTCAGAGAGATTGAGTAGCCCCCTGAGAGCTCACAGCTGTCAATCTGAGCATGCCCCAGAAGTCTGTTTTAAGCTTTAATAACTTCAGAAGACATAAAGTATAAAGCAACAAATTTACAAGAAACAGGATTTGAAAGTTTAATTACTTAAATTTTCTTTGTGCTAATTTCGTTTTGTGGATTTTGTATAACTTTAACTTTTTTCAGTCAACTTTTCCCGTTTTCAGAGGGCGAAAAAGGAAATTTAAATAATTCAACTTTCAAACGGAGTTTCTTGTAAATTCGTAGCTTTATACTTCTGAGGTTACTGAAGCCTAAAACTGTACCAAGACTTTCGGGATACACTGTTATTCTAAGTCAGTTTGACTTCAGGGCCTGTGTGACAGTATTTGACAGTGTGTTTAGGGTGGGGTGAGGATCGAGGATGCTTGTGTTGGGTAGAAAGCTCTGGGAAAAAGCTATATGATAAGTAGCCTACAGAGAAATCTCAGCTGTATTCAACAGCCTGCAGAGAAGTGGAACCCACTTGGAGCAGTGGCCATCTCAGGCGACAATAGGGACACACATGACCGTATTCCCTCTCAGATTTCTTCATTGGGCTTGCCCCACTTCTTGGATGGAAGGGTGATGAACTTTACAGGAAACAATGACACCCCTCCCCTCCTGGGCTGAGCCATCCCATCAAGGAGAGCCATCATGTTCTCAGCACTCCCATAATCCTTAGTTCACATAATCCTCCTATCAGCTCTATGATGGGAGTCTTGCCCTCTCCATTCCATAGATAAAGACATCAAAGCAGAGAAGAGTAATGGTTTGCCCAAGGCCACTGTCAGGCTCCCTAACCTCAGCCCAGTGCAGCAAGGCCTCTCTGACCCTATGTCCCAAGGGTGACCTCCCTGGCTGGTCAGTGTGGCTTTCCCTAGCCTGGTCCATGACAGATCGCATGAGGAAGTTGGTGGGGGTGGCGGGGTGGGGGGCGGCAAGAGCTACAGCAAGTGATTTGGGCTTTAGTGGACTTCCTCTTTGCCTGACCAGGGAAGCCTGGAAAGGATGGGGTGGCCCAGCATGCCCAGCCCTCAATCTTTACTACCTACTGTCAAGGGTCTCCTCGATAAGTCCATTGGGCCTGCCGTCCTTTGTCAATAGCTCTCCCATTTCCCTGCCTGCCCTATCGTCACACAGCCCTGACACCTATGGGTGTCCACAGCTGGCCCTCTGCTCTCTGCAGCAGACTGTCTTGGTCCTTGCTCTTCTATGCACCTCCAGGCAAGATCCCCATGAGGCTCTGGATCTACAGGGTCTCCAGTTCTGAGGGCAGGCCCAAGGCCCAAAGCACCCCAGCCTGAGCAGGTCTCCACCTGTGTCCTTGGTGATGAGGAATACAGCGGCCCAACACCTGGGCTGTTTCTCCAGCACTCAGCAGGCAGGAGATGAATAGTAATGGAAGGAGGGAAAGGAGAGATGTGGGAGGATGGACCAGAGCAGTCTCCCCACCCTAGGCCTCCCCACTCCTGCTTCAAAGTCCTCCCCGGGCCTCCACAGCTCCTCAGATCCTCTCTCCCTCTATCCCTAGGTTGGCAAGGCTTACCCTGGAATGAGGACCAGAGTGCAATGAGGGCCAGCTTCAGTGTGAGGTCAGGGTCAGGGCTCAGACTGGGGCAGAGGCTGAGGGTCAGCCAGGATCAGAAAATGGTCCTCCAGTCCTTCCAGGGGGAACCCACCCTGTCCTGCCGGCTGCAGATACTGGCTCCTTCAGGAACCTTCCATAGCACCTGCAGCTGGCGACTCTGACCATATCATTCCTCTCCCCACCCCCCAGCTCTGGTGTCCAAGGTGATCAGAGCTGCCTCTGGGCAGGAAGCCAGCCCAGAAAGCCCAGGACATCCCTGAGCGCCTGTCACCATGGCGACCTGCCTGCCATGGCCCCCACCCCCACCCCAACCTGGGTCCAGCATGGTTTTTCAAATCCAGAACGTCAGAATGGGAAGGGCCTCCTAGATGAGCAGATTCCGGCCCCTCCCCTTGTCCCAGACGGAGAAACTGAGGCCCCAGTGGGGAAGGGAGGGTGGGACCTGTTGTTCAAGGACCTGACCCCAGCCTGTCCTCCCTCCCCCGCACTCCCACCCCTATGTCGGACCAGGTTGGGTTAGGGGAGGAGGGCAGTCTGGAGTCTGATCTCCCGGGAGCGGGGCGGGCCCTCCACCCACCGTGATGTGGGTGCGAGCAGCACAGAAACCAGACACCGACGATGAATAAATGATGCCCGCTCGCAGCCTGCGACCAGATCGCCACCGCCGAGCGCCGGCTGGCCAGCGGGCAGTCACAGAGCCACCCCTGCCGGCGGCCTCCCTCCGCTCCCCGACCTGCGGCCGAGGCCTGGCGGCGCGAAGATGGCGGGGCGGCGGCGAGGCGCGGGGCCCCTCTGGGCGCTGGGCGGCGCCGCGCTGGGGGTTTGCCTCGCGGGGGTCGCCGGGCAGCTGGTGGAGGTGAGGCGGGGCGGCGCGGAGGGGCGCGGGGTGGTGTCATCGTCCAGGCAGAGGGTGGGGGGCTCCTTTCTGACCGGGAGCCGGCTTTTTCCCCTCCTCTTGCCTTAGGAGACCTGGCTTAATGGGGTGACACAGCCCTGCCCCGAGCGCTTCTAGGCTGTGAGGGAGACAGCCCCCAATGGTCTGACGGGAGGGCACTACCCCTGATTTCAGGAGTATTAGCCTGATAGGGGAGACTGGCTCTGATTTTAGGGATCCCCAGTCTCCCTGAGAATACAGCCTTGCCCTGTCTGCTGTGGGACGCTCAGCCCCAGTCCTCTAGTCTTTGGTCTGATGGGGGCAGGGAGGGCATAGTCCTTGGTTTCAGCGACCTCTAGTCTCAGAGGGGAGATGTAGGCCCTAATCTTAGGGTGTGCTGGTGTGCTGGAAGAAACAGCTTCTGCCTCCAGAGATCCTGCAGGGTCCCCTGTCTAAAGGGGGAGACACAACCTTGGGAAGGAGGTGAGGGCATTCCACGCTGGAGGGTGGGGGCAGGAGGATGAGGAGCCCCTTTATGGAGCAGCCATGTGTTGAGTCTGACTCCATGCGGAGCACTAGGTCCTGGAGGGGAGGGGCAGGCAGGGCAGGACCCAGGGACTCGGAGGACTTACTCGGTCTGGTGGTAACGGGGAGCTAGCAAAGGTTTCTGAGCAGAGTCATGATGGGTCCTGGTTTGGAAGGAGGAGAAAAATTGGAAGAGGTACATAGTTGGGAGAACTGGGAGGAGCTGCTGAGATAGCCCAGGAAGAGGTGAGGAGGATGGCTGAGGTGGTTGGCCAGGAGCTTGGCTGGGCCAGGAAGGGCTGAGAGGGCAAGGGTGGGGACATCTGCAGCCTCTCTGGTCTCTCTGGACCCCATTCCTGCTGAGCCAGGAAGGGGAGCCAAAGAGGCAGACAGGACCCAGAATTCTGGAGCATGAGGCCAGAGGGAGTAGGCCCCAGAGGTGAGCCAGGGAGGAGTAGGGGATGGAGCCTGTGCAGGCAGGGGTGGAGTGGAGAGAGCAGAGGAAGAGAAGTGCAAGAGACAGGAGGCACCCAGGAGAACCCTTGAGGGACAGGTGGTAGGGGACAGGATGGGAGATGGAGGACAGACCCATACTGGGGGTCTGAGGGACATGGGAAGACAGCCCTGCACCCCAATGCTAGCCTGTCCCTGCTGCTGACCAGGGGGTGTGATTAGAAGGCTGGGCTGGAGTCAGATGTCAGCTCCAGTGTCCCTGTAAGGGGAGCCAGGCTGGCTTGAGCCCCATGGAATGTACTTGGGCCCCTCACCAGCTGCCCTGAGGCCTCGGGTGCAGAAACTCAGTTGGCCTGGGTATAGGAGAAGCCTGAGGGTGGGGGTCGAGTCAATTCTGAGCCAAGGACTCTTCCCCCCCAGTACCCAGGAGCATGTCTTCTCCCAGCTCATCAAGGGAAATTGCATTTGGACTCCATCTGCCTGCCAGCTGCCTACAGCCTGAGCAAGGGCCTGGCCAAGCCCAGGGGATCGAGGGAAGCACCAGAAAGATGGGCAGGGCAGAGTTCACACCCCCCACTACCCCAGCCCCTACAGGCACCACCCTCCATCTGGCTGGAAGGCTCTGATGCAGGCCAGGACCTCCAAGCTTCAGAGTTCAGACCCCAAGCAGTACCCACCACAAGGAGATGCCTGACTATTACCTGTTACCTGTTACCCTCCACCCAAGATCCCTATTGGGGTGAGAGCACAGGCTCAATTCCACCCAGAACAAAGCTGGAACAAGAATGTGTCAGGAGTGAGCTCTCAGCTGCCCAGGCTCAGAATCTGAGATCCTTACTCTGGCCCTCCAAGTCTTCCAGTCATACCACCCAGCCAGGCCAACACACTAAGCCTTAGAATCAGGGCCCAAACCCTGGCCCTGACACTACGGAGGTGTGCCCAACCACACCCACATGTACTCCAACCACACGTGTTGCCCCATACCCACAAATGTGTGCCCATTCCCATATGTGTGCTCCAATCCCATATGTATGCCCCAGCCCCACACACGTTCCCTGAACCTACACATGTGCCTGACCCCACACGCATGTTCCTCAACCCCATATACATGTGTCTGACCCCACAAATGGATCCAGGCCACTGGGATGATGCCGAAGAGCCGTGTCTTCTTGTTAATTTTACGACTCAGGTTGGGTAGAGAGAGCTTCCCAAATAGCCCTGGAAACACCTCACTCAAGTTACTAATGAAGAGAGTGGGGCCCAGAGAAAAGAAGGCTCCCACCCCAGTTCACCCTGGTGAGGAGAAAAAAACTGGGGAATCATGTACCCACCCCAGGAGCACAGACCCTCTGGGTTCCCTGGGGCAGGCTCCTGATCCTTTCTGAGCGTCCCCAACATAGACTGAAGGGGGCTCTTCATTAGATAAGGAGTACCTGGCTTGTGGCAGGTGCCCAGTCCACGCTTATGGAAAGACTGGATGGATGGTCAGTTGGGCTGTGGGTTATCTTTCCTGCCCAGAGAGCCAGAAGAGACTCCTCATGTCGGTCCTTATGTGGTTAATGAAGGGATAATGTATTGCACAAATGCCCCAGGGTCCTCTCTCCCTCCAAGCACTAACCCTCATCCACACCCCTCTGCGAAACTCGGTGACAGAGATGAATCATATCTCTCTTAGCCTTGCAGGTCAGGGACAAGTCTTGCTCAGAATCCCCAGAGTAGGGGGCCATGTCCACTCAGACTCCAGGGCAGGGCCATGTCCCATAGACCCCCAGGGTGGAGCCACGTCCCTTCAGGTCCTCAGGGCAGGGTGGTGTCCCAGGCTGTGCTGTGCTCTGCTCAGCCTTGCTCCAGCCATGCTTACATCTTTTGGCCTCCAGGTGTCGCTGCTGTGTTGCAGACAAACTATCTAGTCCTGTCCTGTGAGGACTCTGGCCTAGCCTTCTCGTCAGAGGTGGTGACTCCGGTAGGACATGCAACTGTTGAGGCACCTGGTGTGGGTCCTGGCCAGGCAGGAGAGCCACAGGGCACTGACTCCGGCTCCACACCCCACCCCACCACACTGAGGGTAGCAAGAGCCAAGTTCCCCAGGGCAGCACAGGCCTTGCCTTGTCTCTGGCCTTGGTCCTGAGACCCCATCTGCTTTTGTGGGGCCAGGACTGGAGTGAAGGAGAGGCCTGCAGGCTGCCTGCAGGGGCCTTGAACCTGATTGCCCCTCCGGGCCTCAGTTTCCCCAAGCATCAAGCACCCTCACCCTCCAATCCCCAGCTCCACAGTTCTGAGGCTCTGCTCTCTTCTCTTGTTCTAAATCTGGAACTTCCTAAGGTCTAGGGTGTTGGCTGTGAATGTATAAGACACTTGATTCTAGGAGATTCTGAAATGCTTGAGCTGAGTCCTTGCTGAGACCTGGGCCTCTCTTGGCCCAGTCCCAACCCCCGGCCTCTGCCTGGCTCACTCCCCTCTTTCCCGACTCACAGCCCAGCACGGCCCCGCCCAAGCCCAAGCCGCCCCCGCTGACCAAGGAGACCGTGGTGTTCTGGGACATGCGCCTGTGGCACGTGGTGGGCATCTTCTCGCTCTTCGTGCTGTCCATCAGTGAGTAGCTGCTCCCTGCCCTCCCCACCACACCACAGCGGGAGCACAGCACCCCCCTGCCCCAGCACTACCCCCAGGGGCTCAGAGCAGCAATTCCGGGCAGTGCAAGCAGGCCAGGCGCCCACAGGAGGCCCGCTGTGGTTTCTGGCACCTCTTGATCCACACAAAGTCCCTGTGGAGGGCTGACAGGCCAGTGGTGACCTGAAGTTTCAATTCTGCCCAACCGGGGAAGCAGCCACATGGCAATTATGGTAATTACAGGGGACTCCACTGAACCAGGACAGGACGTGTCATTTTTCCCTATCGCTGGCCTCCTGATGCTTTTCCGGCAGTTTGGCCAGCTTAAAGGGCCCACACCCAGGGGCCCCACCAAGGCCACCCTTAGTTGCGGCTCAGCCCAGAGGCTCCCCAGACACCTAGCAGATGTGACTCCCAGGCTGCAAACCTTGCCTTGTCAAATACTATTTCCCTGGAACGACTCACACCCACCTCCATTAAAAACAGGAGACCCTTTCCTCCCCTGGCACTGGGAGCTGCTTGATGCAAAGTTGCAAAAGAAATGGGCTTGGCATGTTCCCTTCAGTCGTCCTTCTGGAGGTGGGGGGGTCTGAGGTTGGGGAAAGAGGTCAGGGAAATGCCAGCTGGGTGGGCAAGGCCACCATGGCACAAAGCAGAGTCTGACAGAAGTTCCTACAAGGTCGGGTAGGGGGGTTGGGGGATGCAGGCAGAGAAAGGAAAGAAAACCCACTCGCCCTGCAAAGGCTTCAGAGAGGAGGGGTCCTCTGAGTGCAGTTCTGAGGGAAGATGGGTGGGGTTTTGGCAGGTGGGCTACTGGGAGGGCATTCCAGGCAGAGGGGATGGTGTGCGCAGAGGTGGGAGGAAACAGCCTCCACACAAGCTCTCAGATAACCCCTAGAGGACAGTTACTGAGCACACCTTGGGCTGGGGGCTAAAGCGGCATTTAAGTTCTAGCCAGAGCTGTCCTGGGATGAGGTCCCTGGAGGGCAGGGCTGACCGCAAAGGGCCATCCACATGTGGGGGCTCCAAGGGAGAGAAGCACACCTGATTTTCACGTGCTTCTCCTGGCACCGGAAGTGCCCTCCCAAGGGAAAATATCCACCTCGTACCATCATTTCTTCACAGCTCCAGTGGGAGCAGGATCTGAGCAAGAGGCTACTCAGGCCTCTCTATGGAGGTCCCACAGACAGACAGGTGTGGCTGCAGCCTCAGCCCAGGTGTCAAGAGAGGGGCACAACCCTCAGCACCAAGAGGCAGGGTTGGGTGGGGGCATCTGCTCTGCAGGGGCCATAGAAACAATCTGGGGTGCAGATCCAGGAGCAGCTCTGGGGGGCCCCAGGAGTAGAGCTGAGAGCACTGTGGGGCCTCGAAACACGCAATGGCCTCTCTCAGGCTCTGCTCAGCCTCAGATGGTGGAGGTGCCTGAGGCCACATGAGAAAATTGCAGTATCAGAGCCAAGGAGGCACTTGGACATCAACCACACAGAACAACCCCTATTCCTAACCCCATTTCCTAGAAGAGGGCAAGGGCTAGTCCCACAGGCCTCAGAGCAGCAGGTCAGCACCTACTGCCCTCCATGCAGAGCTCTAGGGAGTAGGGATGACACAGCTCCATCTCCTGGGCAGGAAATATCTTTCCTGCTTCCCAGTCCGCTTGGGCCTAGGCAGTGCAGCTCTAGGGGAGCATCACCCCCAGAGCCTTGTGGAGAGGCTGGGGTTGGAATAGGGTGCCTCTGGGGGATCTCCTTCAGCCCAGGGACTCATATCCCAAGCCCCTGCCTGGGCCCTGGAACTCGATCCAAGACACTTTGTTTCTCTCCTTCTTTGAAGGGAAGCAACCAGGCCAGGCTGGGTAGGACAAGCCTGGAATGAGGGGCTGTGTTTGAGCCCCACTCTGGCTGCCAATAGCTGCCCTCTGAGCTCTCTTCTTTGTGGATAGCCTGAATGGGCATGGTCCTGAGGAGGTGCCTGGTGGCTGGCTGGAAGGGGTGGCCCAAGCCAGTAGGGTCAGGGTGGGGGACCAACCTTGAGCCTCAGGCATACACACAGAGATCCGGAGAAGACCAGAACCAGCTCTTTGGCTAAGTAAGGCATGCTGTCTACTCAGGTCTACCCGTGGACAGCCATGTACAGTCAGACCTACTGCTGAGGTTCTGGTGCAGTGCTCCCCAGCTCCCCCATCCATTCATTCAGGAGTCCAGTCCCGTCCTCAGCAGCAAAGGCTTTGAGACCATCTCATCCATTCATTCATTTTTTTCTTTCATTCTGTGAGTCTGGGTGAGACTCAGTAGGGCCACAATATTTGGTTTAAGAGGTTGCACAAGATGACCCCAGAGGGTTCTCCAGCCCAGGCCACGTAGGTCTGATCCATCTTCCCCAAAATAGGCCTGGCTTGTCCTGCCTGGCCCTCCTGTCCCCAGGAGTCTGCCAGGAAGCTATGTCTGGTCATCTGATTTATAATAGGAAGCAGCTCCATCCCCTTCCCTGAGGCTGGGGCCAAGGTGGTCAGACTGTGGGGGCCTTAGAAAAATAAACTCAGTCCGTCTGGGTCCTGGCAGCCCTGCTCTGCCATGCCCATCACTAGACAGGCCAGCTCCATGCTCTGGCCCAGCTTGCGTGGGTGCAGCTGCCCTCAGCTGGAAAATGGCTCCTGGAATAACTTGGTCTGAGGTGAACGCCCCAGGGCAAGGTCTGTGCCCTCTCACCGGTTCTTGCAGCCAGGAGGAGCCCAGGCTTGTCCTCAGGGAGGTTGAGGAGGATGCAGCCATGTCCTCCAGTGTCTGAAGCAGCTCTGGTCCTGCTCTCAGGAGCCTGGGGAGGAAAAACTAGGATGCACTAGGAGCCCAGAGGCTTGCATGGAAGCACAGGACAGTCTCCAAGAAGTTGGAGCTGGAGCCATAGGGCAGCCCTCTGCCCTGCCCTCTGGGAACTCTCAGTCTAGTCAGAAGGACCCTCAGGACCAGGGCCAGCGATGGGGCTAATGCAAAATGAAAACATGAGACCCATTGTTCAAAAATTATTACGAATTTCAAGATAGTGACAGCAGAGTATTAAACCAAGCACAAGGCCCTTCTAAGAGGGGGCCCTGTGTGACTGTACGAAGCCAGCCCCGCTTAGGAAAGATAGCTTGGAAATCCCAGAGCCCACAGGGGTTTTGTCAAGATGTGGAGCCTCCTGCTGCAGTCTCTGGGTAAGACACACATAGGTAGGCAGAGGCAGGCCTAAAGTTGGGTACCACTCCTGAGGTGTCCAAGCTCCGGCCCCGGCCAAGCCTGCTCTGTCCCTGCTACAGTTATCACTCTGTGCTGTGTCTTCAATTGCCGCGTGCCACGGACCCGGAAGGAGATTGAAGCCCGGTACCTGCAGCGAAAGGCAGCCAAGATGTACACGGACAAACTGGAGACTGTGCCACCCCTCAACGAGCTCACAGAAATCCCTGGAGGTGAGCAGGCCCGAGCCCCCAGCCCCACCACCATCCAACCTTGCTGAGCCAACCAGCTCCTCAGCCCTGCTGCCCAGTGTCCTTCCTCCCAGCCCCCTGTAGCAGGTTCAGGGGGACCCAGCCCTGTTTCTGGAGACGAGAGCACAGAAACGGGTCAGAGAGAGGCAGGTAAAACAAGGAGCTATTCTGCAGGTGGGAGAGGTTTGGAATGAGTGAAGGGCTGGCATGGGAGGCTCTGCTGCAGGCCCTGGGACCCTGTCTTCCTCCTGCCACGCATCTCTTTCCTCTCCCCCACAGAGGACAAGAAGAAGAAGAAGAAGGACAGCGTGGACACAGTGGCTATCAAGGTAGAGGAGGATGAGAAGAACGAGGCCAAGAAGAAGAAAGGAGAGAAATGAGGAGAGCGTCCTGGAGGTGGAGCTGGGGTTGGCAGGCCCTGGGGCTCAAGTCCTGGCCAGGATCCAGGCACCTTAGACTCCAAGCTCATCCATGGACCATAGAGGTTGCAGAACATCTTCTCCCTGCTCAGAAGGGGAGCTGGGGTCCATGGCCACGTCCTTATGGCCCATTGGGGCAGGGACAAGACTGCACCAGCTGTCTGACCTCCCAGCCTGGACTCCACTATTTTCACCCCATCCACATGGCCACTCAGCAACACTGGTCTTGGGCCACTGTCCTGCAGATCCAGAGCAGCCTCACACCTACCCAGGCATGCCTCTGTCCCACTCCTTCTGCCAGGAACAGCAGTGGCTAAAGGAGTAACAGGATGTGGGTTCCCTTCTGGAAGGGGATGGCTGAACTGGATAGGCTAAGGTATAAGGTCATCCCCAGGCTGGTCACTAGGAGAGAGAGGGTCACTGGAGGGGGTTGTGGCAGCAGGAGGTTCTCGGATTTGGCTAGAGAGCAGCCCTGGTGGGGAGCCATGCTCCAAGCCTGGCATGGGTTCTTGCTGAAGTGGGTGAGCAGAGGTGGCCCAGAAGCAGGAGAACCCCAGTGCAGCAGATACCAAGCTCAGGCAATGGGGTGCGCTTGTTTTACACATTGTGATGGGGCTGAAGCTGCCAGGGGGTGAGGCCCAGGGCTCGGGGCTGGGGGCTGCAGGCATGCAGAGGACGAGGCCAGCAGGCCAGAGGAAGACAGCGCCCCTTCTTGGGAATCCAGGGAATATTTGAGAAGCCAAGAGGGACCTTGGGCTGCCCTGGTAGCCCTTCCTATGCTCAGCTGTGGGGGCCACAGGGCCCTAGGGGATCACCACAGCAGGCAGTTAGGGCTTGAGGCAGCAGCCAGCCTTCTACCTGCTGAATATAACAGCAGGCAGTGCCTCTTCCGCCATTCTCAACTGTGTTGCCTAAAGGAAGCGCGGCTGGCCAGAAGCAAACGCCACCTGAGGACTGCCTCCTTGGGGATGGGAGATGCAGAGGGGTTTCCAGATGGCAGTGAATGTCAGCTGAGGCGCCCAGACCTGGGCCTAGAGACTGAGGAGACACCAGAGAAGGTTTCTGAGCCAGGGGAGGTGCTGGAAAAGCTCACGCTGCCTCTGCAGCCTGCAAAGATGTGTAAATAAAGCTGAGTGCCTTCTCCTACCCGAGTGCCTGCTCGTACCTGAGTGACCTGAGACGACCCTCAGCCTGCCACCATCCCTCAGCATTTATATGGAGGGTGATGCAGCAATCCGTGACAGGTGGTGCAGGCCAGGTTGAAGTTCCCTCCCTGACTTTTCTCCCAGCCTCAGTTAGGATGAGCTGGAGGGGGAGATGGTGGCCAAGAGGCTGCGGGGCAGCTGCAACCAGCTGGGCCCAGGCCTGCTTGCTCTCCGCTCCCCTCCACTCCACCCTGTGGCTTTCAATAGGCCTTTGACGGTCTGAGCCTGGTGCTGGGGACACAGAGGAGTCAAGCCTGGATCATTATTATACAAGGGCAAAGATCCAGGCTGACATGGGGGACGGAGCACAGGGTCTTGGAGCAGCAAGGGGCGAGAGATGGCAGAAGGCCCTGCTGTGGAAGCTGAGTACTCACGCTGCCACCAGGTGGGAACGGGTGGCTGACCTATGGGCTATGGGCTTCTCATATATAGGGTTGTGGCAAGGTCATGCCACCCATACAGGCCAGAGCCATCATGTGTGGCCAGGCAGCAGAAGCCCAGAGGGGCAGGGGCCACTTGAAGGCAAACAGAGCTGGTAAAGCAGCTGGTAAAGCCTGAGGGAGTCCAGGTCCCAGCTCCATCTGCCCCACCAGCTGCCTTCCTGACCCCTGACCTGGGCCTCCACTCACCCTGTATGGAGAGGCATGGGTGCTGATGGTGGGGATAATGTCTGATCCCAGTGGGCACTTGCCCCATCTCCAGGCAGAGGCAGGGCTAGAGGGTCAAAGTTCACTACAGTGCTTCAGGGCAATGACAAGGTATGTTCTAGCTACTGGCCGGAAGGGCCAGAGGCAAGGAGAGCCTGATTCCCACTACGGTATCACAGAAAGGACACCTTGTGGCCCAGACAGAGCCGTACCCTCCCCCCAGCCTTGGGCTGTCTGGCAGCTGCAGCTTCAGCCTGGGCAGTATGTTCTGGGCCCTCCATCATCTGACCCCAGTATCATCCCTTCACACTCCCTCTACCTTCCTTGGGAGCCACTCCAAACCTCTGGAAACTGCCCTGAGTTTCCCATCCCACCCTGGTCTGGTTCACTCATCTCCCACTCAAACAGCCCAGGGAGCGAGGGGCTTCGGAGGTCCAGGAAGGCAGAGGCATGGGGAAGAGAAGTGTTTAATTAAGCACCCAGGCTCTGCCCTGCCTTGCGAGACTGCGAGAGCTGCACCTGCAGCATTCTGGGCACTGAGGGCAGCGAGGAGCGGCCTGGGCAAGGAAGGGCACCCCCAGGGACGGCGCTGAGTGTCAGAGCACAGTAAGGAGGCTGAGGGGCAGCGGCAGCACCAGGAACAGGGCCCTGGGTGGGGCTGGCAGAGCCTGCCCGGTGACACGTTCCCAGATCCAGTGCTGGTAGGAGGAGATCTGCAGGTAGATGGGCGGGGGCTTGCTCTTCTTGCAGCCGGGGCCCCAGCTCACCATCCCCACTAGGTACCACGTGCTCTCCACAGGGCAGGCCAAGGGTTCACCACTTGTCTCCTGTGGGGAAACAAAAACATGTGGCCTGAGGGAGACAGGACCCCACTCAGGGATAAGCAGAGTGCTCTCACATGAGATCTTCTCCACAGCCCCCAAGGTCACATAGCCGAGAGGTGCCCTTGAGGTCTAAACCCAGGAGATCTTCCTCAGAGGGCTGCATCTCCCATCTCTCTCCATGTCCGCCCTCCATCTCTCATCTCTTTAACACCCACCCTCCATCTTCCCACCATTCCCCATCCTTCTTTCTCATCAACCTCCATCCTCACCCCCCATCTCCTCCCTCCATCCCATCTCTCCTCTCTATCTTCCCCCTCATCACCCCTGCTCATCCCTCCCCACTCTTAACCTCCTCTCCCTCCTTCCCCTCCCCATTCCTTCAGGTCCCGCCTCCCCTGTGCCCTGAGCCCCACTTCTGGCCAGGTGCCCTTGGAGGTGAGTGAGTGAGGGGGAGAGGTGCTCACATAGCAGAACTGCTCCCTGTCCAAGTCCTCCGCACAAATCATCTGGGAGTTGATGATCCGAACCAGAGAGGGGATTTTGGAGAACCTGTGATAGACGGAGTCACACTCCGTGCTGTTGACAACAGTGACTTCCTTCTCCTGAATGGTCCGGAACTGGGGCCATACACCTGGAGGACAGGGGCCCCTGTTTAGGCTTAGCAGTTTTGCTGCTGCCCACTGCCACCAGCCTTGTCTCTGTCCTCCCTTTGCTCCTTGCCTCTGCTACTTGCCCCACAACAGCCCTGGAGACCTCTCCAGGCTCAGGTCACCTTCCATTGCAGCTGACACTTCCCAAGGGCTGCTCAATATAGAGACCTCGGAGCAGGCTGCCCACCATCAGGCATTACTGGACCTGGTCTCACTTCCTGCAGATTCCAATCCACTGAGTCCATTCCTACTTCAGTATCTTGGCTTTTGTCCTTCCTTCTATCCTGAATGCCTGCCAAGCCCCTCTTGGGTCCAAATCCCTCCTTTTCTTCAAGCCCTCCCCACAGGCCTCTTCCTCCCCTGAGCCTGCCCAGACTGCCCTCCGTGGGTCCCAGACACTGCTTACTCCCTTCCTCCCTCTCGTCAGTGTGTCTGTCCCTAGCCTGAGCTCCTGGAGGGCAGGAGACTTCTCACCATTCCCAGCCATTCCCCAGACAGGCCACAGCAGGAAAGTCAAAAGGCCACCTCCCACCCCCGACGCTCCCCCCTGGCCTGGAACCCTGTGGGCTGTCTTTAGGCAGTCGGCTCTGTGAGGCCATAGGGAAAGACATCTTTCTTGTGGGAAAGGGATAGGGGGCTCCCTGAAGGGAGTGGACATTCCTGGGGCTCGTGAGGAAATGGACCCTTGGATGGGCCTCGGACAATACTCCTGCTCTTTGGGCCTTGCTCCTAAATTGGGGTGAAGAGGGATTGAGGGCCACTGCAGGGACGGGGGAGCCATGAGTGGACCCTGAGTGACTCCCAACCTCCGGGTGCAGACTACCCTTAGCCAGCCATGGGGGGTCTTCTGGGGAGCTTTTCACAGACACAGAACCCTGCTCCTCTCACCTCAGATGTTCTACTTCAAGTCATGGCTGCCCTGGGATTGTGTACAGACAGCAAGATATTACTCTGTGCCCACTCTGCCTTCAAAGAGGGCCTATTTCCATGCTCTGGCCTGGGCCTGAGAGTTCACGGGCAATCTGGGTCCCCTAAGGCCTGAATGGCCAGGATATGCTCACTGCTCAGATGCCAGAGATTAGAGTCCAACAGGAAGGTCCAGGGGCAGCAGGCTCCCTGGGGAAGGTGTCTCAGAAACATCTGTCCATGGTAGACTCAGCCTGCACCCAGTCCTCTCCTGTGCCACCCACCCTGGTCCTGGGAGGTTCCCACTCACCATCAGCCCTGGGGCGGCCCCAGCCCGTCACGGTGCAGAGGGACTGGTCCTTCATCACATAGTCCAAGCCAGGCAGGCAGATGGGCCCGATGTACTTGCTGTACTTGAGTGCCCCCTCAAGCTTGAGGAGGGCAATGTCGTTGTCCTGGCCGATCCAGGACCAGTACCGACGGGACTGGAACTTGCTGTTCACGATGACCTGGCTCACCGGGACATCGGAAGTAGTCTGCACCATCTGGTCAATCCACGGGCTCCCCGCCCGCACTGAATAGACAACATCCCGCCTAGGGGAACCACGAGGGGAGTCTGCCATCAGCTCCTGGCACCCCACCCCAGTCTCCACCCCATTCTCCGCCCCACTGTTGCACTCGGAGCACCGGCCACCCACCTGCTTCAATCCCCCTGAGTCTACTCCTCACAACAGATGTGAACAGGGCCCTGCATACACACTGTGTGCTCCAGTACTCACACAACCCTGCATTTTATGGAGGAGGAAACCAAGGTTCAGAGAAGCCCAGTGACCGGCTCAAGGCTACACAGCTAGGGAGTGGTGGAATGGGGACATAGACCCAGTTTTCTCTGGTTCCAAACTCTAGACTCTGTCCAGCGCCCTGTGCTGGGCCCTGGAAGTGACAGAGGCTCCATGCAGTTAGCCACGGCCTCGCCCTCCAGCCTCCTTTCCTGGTGTGCCCCTGGGGTCTCTATGTCCGCCTTTAGGCTTGGAGCACACTTCTCCACAGGTCAGCCCTCACGGCCAGCACAGATGTTACCCTCAGGCTGTTCCTTGGCCCTGGAACCTGGGCATGCCCTCTTGCTTGTCCCCACATCCACCAGACTCCCCTGTGAGTATCTATCTTCTCATCTGTCTTCCCCAGCAACCTGAGAGGAGGGATGTGTCCCCTCTCTCCCCAGTGCCCAGGCAGGGCCTGGCTTCAAAGGAGTGTCAAAGGCTGTCAGTTGAAAGGAAGGAAGGAACAAGAAAGTGAAGCAAAGGGTGTGGATTGAAAGAATTAGGACCTTCTTTCTGCAGCTAAGAGGAAGGGAGCCTGGGCAATGGCTTCCAAGCCTCCATTTCCCATCCATGGAACAACTGCACGAGACTGAGGCACAAGATGAGGGGAGCCAGCTCCCACTCCCGGTAAGGAACCTGCACCTGCTTGGAGCTGGGGTGAGGCTGGGGCTGGGACCGTGGGGTTCCACAGAGGGCATAGCTGCTGCTGACAGGCCAGCTGGTGGGATGACTGAGCCCCCAGTGGCTCCACACACCTTTCCGCCCACCCACCTAGGCACCCACTCACTGGATCAGGCAGTGGGCCACAGTCAGCACCCACTGGGAGGCAATGAGGGTGCCTGCGCAGATGTGTGTGCCATTGGCCTGCACACTGACCATCCATGGCCACCGCCGAGCCATGGCCTCTGGGTCCCTGAGGGTGGGGTCCTGCTCGTAGGAGACGCCGCAGGCTGAGGAGGAAGGTGAGAGCTTGATGAGGGATAGGCCCTTCCAGCTACATCCAACAGAACCTTCCCCAGCCCGCCCCCTCAGCTTGATCTACCCACTCTCCAACCGCGGGCCCGTACCCATCCAATGATTCTCCTTTCACCAGTCATCACATACTGATGCTGTCCACATTTGGACTGGGGTCTCCAGCCACTGAAGGGCCTAAGTGCTCCCCAGGAATCCCTCTCTCTGTTCCCACAGCCTGAGTCCCAGAGCATTCCCAGCTGACCAGCCTGGTGCACCACTGGCTCCTTTGTCCTGGCTAAGCAGCCCCTCAGAGCTGGCCAGACCCTTCACAAACTCATCCATGTTTCCATCTGGTTCCCCCTACTTCAGCCAAGGCAGAACCCTCTCCCTCCTCTGGGAACCCCCTCCTGTGATTCAGTGAGAGAAAGAGGCAGTGACCTAAGAAAAAAATGGGCAAAGGACAATGGGCATGACAGACACATCCCGAGGACAAAACCCCAGCAGCAAACCCGCACAGCAGCTGCCCAGCCCCTTCTGTCCTCAGGAAGGGCAGCCTGAAGTCGCAGGCAGTTCTGCTCCACACCACCTGCCAGGCAAACTGAGTGTCCCTGATGCCCGAGTTGGTGAGGATGATGGCCCCAGACCATTCACTCACTGGGAGCCTGGGGCAGGGCAGGCTGGGCAGGGCAGGGCCTGGTGGACAGGCCACTGGCCCCACAGCCTGGGCAGGCAAGTGAGAACATGCAGCCCACCCACACTCCTGGACTTTCCTTGCCTCCTACCTCCACAGGATGGGAGGCCTGGCCCACAGTAAGGGCTCAAGAGACACTCCCTGCCTCTTTCTCCTCTGTCCCTTCTGTCCCCAGGGATCAAATGTTCTTAAGACTGCTTGGCACCCTCCTCCACCGTGGAGTCCAGTACTCACTGGGAACAAAGTCGACGGTGACTTTAGAAACAGGGTCCGGCCACCTGATGGTGAAGGTCTGCGGCCGGATGGTGGACACCAGCCTGTGGAGGCGAGGTTTGCCTGAGGGACCGGTGCCACTGGGGGCACAGGGGGCGCCAGGGTCAGTGGGAGCAGCCACGCACAGCGCCCCCGGCGCTTCGCCTGCGCCCAAGCAGCCTGTGGAAGGATGCAGAGGGTCAGAGGCGGTCTGGCCCGGTCCGGGCGGGGACGGGGCGGGGCCAGGGCTCACCCGCGGGCCTCAGCAGCAGCAGCAGCAGCAGGAGAACGGTGGGCGCGGGGGCAGACATCCGGGAACCCCGCTTCCCGCACCGGGATTCCATCCCTAGGTAGCAGTGACTGCGCCGCGGTGCTCCTCTCGCGGCAGCGCTCCTGGTGCCCGCCCCACGACGGCGCCCCCCATTGGCCGTCGGTGACAGCCTCCGCTGCGGGGTCGCTGCGGCGCTCCTGGTCCTGGCCTGCGCGGCGCCCCCCAGTGGTCACCCACGAAGGTGCTCCAGGCGTCCCTAGTGACTGACCTTCCTAGTGACTGACCCCCCTTCTGCCTGCCACAGTGGTGGCTGGCCTGATGGCGCCCCCTGATTGCCCTGTTTCTGACCTCGCCTCTGCTCTCCATGGCCCCTCCAAACAGTTTCCTGGAGTCCCTCGAGCTAACCTCCACCAGTTCCTGTACCTCCTCACTCCTGCAGCCGGCTGCCCTGGGCTTGCTCTTGCTTTCATCCTTCCCCTGGTGAGATGGAGGCCCAACTCCTGGGGCTGGCATCCAAGCTTTCCAAGTGGCCCCGCTTTCCCTCCATCCTGGCAACTACAAAGGTGGGGCTTTGCCTCAGGGCACTGAAATTAAGCAGACTGAAATGTTTTCAATAATGATTTTTGAAGACTGCATGATTTTAAGCAGCATCCCCCCAACAACCTCTATTCGGCAAATGCCCTTCCCTGACAGATCCATCTGCTTAGGAACAAGGGCACAGGTGAGGTATCCATTCACAGAGAAAGAGGGATGGCAACCATCAAGCCCCTCCTGGAGCAGAAGGCCACTTCGTATGTTGGAATTTGGGGGACATTTTGATGGCTCCATGACGTAGATGAATAATATGTTTTAAAGGTAGTGTGGGGGAAATCCTATGAGAAGCTTCGGTTCAAAGCTGTTGGAAGTCTAGCCTAGTAAAAGATAAGGTGAAAGTTCAATCAGGCCAGGACATTCTAGCTTGCTGGGGCCTGCTGTCTTGGTAGAGACGCTCAGGCTGGCGAGTCAGTGCTCCAATCTGTAAGAAAACGGCAAATCACACCCACTACCCTCCTGGTGCCCAAAGGGCAAGAGTAGCTGGCCACTCTGAGCCTGAGGCCCCCAGATCTGAGGGGCCCCCACACCACCTCCGCACAGGGGGCGGGGCTGTGCCCTCCCAGTCTGGCTAGCTCGCGCCAGCCTGTCCTTGCTCTCCAGAGCCTGATGGAGGTCAGTGAGGCAGCTCAGGAACTCAGGGTGCAGTCAGCTCACACAGTTCACCCAAGCAGGCACTCTGCCTTGCTCCCCCATCATCACCTACTCCTGCCAGGGAGAGAAGAGGAACTGGTCAGGTTCTGTAGACCCTTAGGGGGATATGAGGGGTTGGAAGAGGCCCACGGGTTCTGGAACAAGGGCCATGAGTGCAGCTCTGGTCATTGTGAGTTTCTTGGAAAGAGGCCAACCCTTGCAAGAAGGCCTGCGGGAAACTGTTGGTCAGAGAACCAGAAGAGGGCCATGGTGACCTGGGATTGCTAGAGGGCTGAGATGACTAAGCAGCGACTGGGATCACAGAGCCAGCGCAGTATTTGGCAGAAAAGGAAACTACATCCCAGAGAGGGGAACACAACAGGTACAAGTAAGACTCTCAGGGCAGGCTCCCCTTGAGAGGAAAGCCTCAGCAGGGGGGCTCAAAGGGTTCCGGCCAAAGTCCAGAAGAAAGATGATTTCAGTGATGCAAAGTTCAAGAGCATCTTCATTGAACAACTGAAAAAACAGTGGCTCTGGGACCCTCCCCCAAGGGTGCTCTGCCCTGATCCCTGTGTCCTCCGGTCTCCACTTCTCCCCAGGCAGACAGACGGAGGAAGAAGTAGGCTCCAGGAGTGAGCACCCTGGACACACCACTCACAGGAGCCACAGGGAGCGCAAGTTGACCAGGAGACTGTAGCCAGTGAGGAAGACTGGGCTCAGTAAGGCAGGGCTAGCCCTACTGATGAACTTCACGTCAGAGATCTGCCTCCTGATCCAGTGGGAGAAGTGGGAGGTGCTGGTGTAGAGGCCTGGGTAGTTGCGCCTGCCGCAGCTATGACTCCAGCTCACCACCCCCATCTGAATCCAGGTCTTGTTCACTTGGCAGACGAGGGAGCTGCCAGAGTTACCCTGTGGAGAGGAGGAAGGGAGCCATAAGGGAGGCAGCAGAGGGCCTCACTGCAGGCCCTGGATAAACTCCCACCTTCCTGGGCCATATCCTCAGCATGAGCTGCATCAGGCCTGTGCTGTCCTCAACACTGAGGCACGGAAGCTCTGCCTGGGGCCCAAGCTCAATGGCACTGGCCTGTCTCCTCATTCTCGAGAACTCTCTGACCATAGTGCCCTGGTACCCTCATCCGCCCTCCCCTTAAATCGGGGTGAGTCTCCAAGGTGTTACCCTTGACCTTCTTCTTTTCTACAATCCTGCTTGTAGAGTGGGCTATTTGAAATGCAAACCAGCCCCTCTCTTTTCATGCAGAGCAGGTGCATGTATAAGAATAAGTTTACAACAGCATACATCAAAAGGTAATCACTTATTTCTGCTGATGGTGGGTTTATGATCTTTTTAAAACTTTCTTTCCATTCTTCTGTATTGTTGAAAAGTTTTATAAATCAGGAAAACAGTTCTCTTTCTCTCTCTCTCTCCATATATATTTTTTAATGTTATGCAAACCAAGATTTAGAGCACATAATCTAATGAAGAGTGCATAAGACATTTAAGGAAAAAAATAATAAAACTATCTTTAAGAACATAAAAGGAGACTTACATTAATCCACAGATAGACCATTGTTCTTAGATGAGGCAACTTAAAACAATATAAAAATGCCAATTCTCAACATTTGGCTTCCTGCAGTATGGAAGACTAGGTACGCTACCTGACTTTGCTGAAGATAACTAAATATGTGAGATTTTTTTAAATTATTATTTTAAATGCATGGGCTAGCTGGCAAGAAAATAAAGGCTCCTCAGAGTCTAAAACCCAAGGGAGGGCTGAAGTCCGGAGAAGTAGGCAAAGCCCAGAAGATGGCTTTTGCCTGAAAGCCATTTGCCAAACCCGCTGAACCTGATCTTCGGTTTTTGCAGCCCTGCTGATGGGTGCAGGAGACAAAAGGCAAAACCCAGGGCCTGGCCAGGGTGGGTAGTCTAAGAGAGACCTCCTGCAAAAAGTTACACCTCCAAACAAGGACCACGTCTTCCGAGTGAGGATAACCCGGAAAACCTGCCCTCCTGTGAACTTGCAACTTGAATTCACACTGTCTGGGTGATTCAAAAAACCTGAGCCAAGGATGTCATTTAAAGTGGTCCTGGGTTGGTCCTATGCCCAGGTATCTGGCAGAAGCAAATACAGATTTTGTTGAAGGAATCCACTTTTCAAGCCATGCTTCAGAGAATTCCCACAGAGAAGACTCTAAAGAACATGTCCTCATTCTTAAAAACGTTGCTGTACATACAGGGAAGCTGAGGCACCACAAGCAAATGCCAGCCAGCAGAAAAAATCGAGAGCAGAACCAGCGCCTTCATGGCCTGAGATCAGGAGTCATCACACAGGAGCTTCAAGGTTCCTGGTTAGGCACTATTTCGTAGGCGTGGTGGTGTGGGTATGGGTGTTGGTTGTGTTCTTCTTTATTCTCCATACACATTTTATAAATATTCTTTTGTTGCTATTCAATAGAGAGTAAAAGCAATTACAAATTATAACAACATCCGGTCTCCTTACACTGATCTCTAAAGTTCAAGGGATTCCAAAGAAAATGTCAGCAGGCTTTTTTCAAGACCTTGACAATCTGATTCTAAAATTGATCTTAAAGGATAAAAGTCCATGAATTCTATGACAGGTTTGAGAAACAAGAGCAAATTGGAGAGTCAGGCTGGAGGCAGATTTGACCTACCAGAGAGTTAGATATATTTCAAAGCTATACTGATAGAAACTGTGGTTCTAGTGTGGAAACAGAAAAACAGATCAACGGGGCAATGGAGAGCCACCCTGATGGCTGCACGTGAGGAGACTTGGCACATGCTCCAGAAAGTGTCCCATCTGCGGGAAAGGAGGTCTCTGTTGTAAAGGGTGGGGAAACAGATGGAGAAAAATGAAGTTGTTTCCTACCCTAACAAAACTCTAGAGGAATTAAAACTCCAAATGTGAAAAGTTAAAATGATAAGGCCATGCAGGGTCATGACTCTATGACTTAGGATGAAGCATATGTTTTAAAATAAGACTAGAAACCCACAAACCTGAAAAGGGGAAATGTATTAGGCGTAATTACATCAAAATGAAGACTGTTCAGTGAAGGATATCAAAGCTCATCGAAGATAGGTGATGAATTAAGAGAGGGCATTTGCTTTGTCTAGAACTAACTGGAGGTCAATATTTAGCCTATCCAAAGAAACTCTGAGAATTGACAAGCAAAGAAGGAGAGCTGAGGGAGATTCAAGGGTTTCCATGTCTAGGAGATTACACAGTCGCCAGCTCCCTGACAGTCTGGCAAGGCAGGGACCCCCTCCCCTAGGAACCCCATAGAAGGGAAATGGGGTGGGCTTTGGTGAGGTTTAAATCATACTGATTTTTAAATTGAGGCTTATAATAGGACTGGGGGTTAATAACTGAAAGTGACCGAAAGTTATAGACTCTGCCCAAAATGATGTTTGGGGAAGGGAAGAAGATTTGACATAGGGGATGTGGAGGCAATGACTTGAAAGAATAAAAACCATTTAACGTGGATTCTCTAACAAATTGAGATTTCTCAACAAAAAAATACAGGAGGGGATATGCAGTACAATATCATTTATGCAAATTAAAATATACATATAGCAAGACTATGTATTTTTCAAAGATACAGACATGTTTAAAGACATATATTAAACAGATCTGAGTAGGCACCTTTTGTGGGGAGAGAAAATGGAGAATGAGGGGGAAAATGAAGACAGTGATAATCAAGCCAGTAATGACAGTGTGAGGGCCCTTATCTGAGAGAGATGGTTAACTGGGAGCCAGAGAAAAAGAGAACAGTCGAGAGATTTGTATATGAACGTTCTCTCACCACAGTGAAATAAAACCAAACCCCAAGAACAAAATGTGAACTCCCCTATCAAGGAAAACAATCAACTTTCAACAATATTAAAGGAAAAACAGAATTAAAATCTACAATTAGAGTGCAGAAAGGTAACACCACATATCACAAAGCCCATGGGATGCGGGCCTGAACTTCACACAGAAGAGGCCTAGTCTAAATACTTTTTTTTTTTTCAAAGATTGGCACCTGAGCTAACAACTGTTGCCAATCTTCTTTTTTTTCCCCCCCCGCTTTTTCTCCCCCAATTCCCCCGGCACATAGTTGTATATTTTTAGTTGTGGGTCCTCCTAGTTGTGGCATGTGGGATGCTGCCTCAGCATGGCCTGATGAGCAGTGCCGTGTCCGCGCCCAGGATCCGAACCAGTGACACCCCGGGCCACCGAAGGCGGAGCATGCGAACTTAACCACTTGGCCACGGGGCCGGCCCCTAAATACTTTTAATATTAAACAAGAGAGAAAGAAAACAAATTTTTTGTTGCTATCATCAATTATTTATCACTGCACGTTCAGCTCAAAACACTTGAAAAGGAATTAATAAAGGCAAAAAGGGGATAATCATGCATTAGCAAGCAGAAAAATCATAGACTAGAAATGAAATCAACAGCTTGTTCTTAAAAAAATAAAAACAAAATAGATAAGCACCTTGTAAGTCTTACCAAGAAAAACAGAAAGAAAAGGAAAAAGCAAATACTTCAGTGTGAGTAGAAAAGAGACTAGAACCACATCCAAGGAAAATATACTTTCTCAGAGTCTGAAGAATGTTTATAACTTCGTCTTTATGGATTTAAATTCTGGATGAATGAATAATTTCTAATAAAATCATATAAGTCCAATAACCATGATCAAAACAACTTAAAATATTGCCCAAGAACGACCCCTCAAAGGAAAACAGGCCTATGTGGTTTCATAGGCACCTTCTACCCAGCGTTCAAGGAGCAGATAATTTCTGTTATTTCAAATGTTCCAGAACATGGACTAATATTTTTCAAGTGAAGCATAGTCCTGATTCTATAACTTGACAAAAGGGGCACATTCCTCAAAACACCTTAAAATGGAGCCTATCTCTATTGGAGGAAAAAAAACAAAACAAAACACAAAGGCTGTTGGATTGTGCTACATGGGTTGTGCCGAACAGGACTGCTCATTGGTAGGCCCGCACCTCTCCGGGGCCGTGCACCAACATTATCCTGTGCCTGGCCCAGGGTCTGGCACAGGAATGTCTGTTGGATGAATAAACATATTAAATATATTCTAAAAAAAGATATCATAAATCTGAATCCAACAGACTAATGAAACAAAAGTACACCATGACGAGGGATCCTGGCACACTGAATAGATGGATACAAGGAATCTGTTCACGGAACTGACTTGGCACATGGAGTTAGAGCATAGGGTCATCTTGGTAGCTGCAGAAAACACATTTAATGAAGGAGGGCATTCATTCCTGAAATAAAATGCCATAGTAAAACAGAAAGGAATGACTCTCTCCCTGACAGATGATATGCCAAATTAGCACCATGCTTCATGATGAGGTGTGAGAAGCATTTCCATGAAGACCAGCAACAAGAAAAAGTATAGCTACAATTCCAGTTTTTTGGGGGGAGAGGTACCCAAAATAATGAAAAAAGTAAAAATCATGGAAATAAAAGTGGTGAAATCATTACTAATTGCAGTTTATATAAGTATAGGCCTGGAAAGCCCAAGAGAGTCAACTGAAAACTCTTAGATCTAATACAAGAGTTAAGAAAGCTGAACTCCCAGATATTTTCAACAAGAGGAAGAGTCTGGGGGTTGAAAATAAA